TGCCAAGACTTAGATTGATACACTCTCCTGTGTGCACATATGAAGCTGGAGCCAGAGAATGGTTAGCTCAGCAGCTTGCCTGGGTTTGTTTTAAAGTTTTAAAATAAATACACCTAAAGCTCAATAATTAATATGTTACATCTCGTTTGTTAAATTCGTACAAAAACCAGATTGTAACAGTGACAAGTGGTTTCTGGTTTGACACTGGAATTATTTTTGGGGGGGGTTCAGAAAAGATGTTTCCCACTGATCACAGTCATTATGCTAAGCTAGGCTAATCACATAAGCTGCAGCTCTATACTTAACACAGTAGTATCAATCTTCTCATCTCATGCTCCACATGAAAATGTCAAACAAGCATGTTCTTCATTTTTATATCAGACTTCAAGCTTTCCCTTTTTCAAAGCAACAAAGTATCATCATCATCAGTGATATAAATCTTTTCATCTTCCTTTCGGAAAGGCAATTAAGTGTATCCCCCCCAAAAAAGAACTATTTAAAAACAGCATTTAAATGAAGCAACTCCTAACTATGCAGTGAAATCTTGAATTGCGGTAATCTCCTAAAGTTGAGTGAGTTTTAACCTAAATGTCTAGATGTCTTGTCACCTGCAAATTACCATGCTAAATGACCAAGAATAGATCCAAAATACAGCTTCTAATTTGCACTGACTCTTTATCTACAAATTGTAGATGACGAAGTCTGTCATTTTCTATATATTGAAGTCCTTAACTTGACTATATAATGTATCTGCTGCACGTATTTCAGTTAAGATGTCTAGTGAAGATGAAGTGAGATCAGGTGACTTTAATATCAGTGGGGGTTTTTTTAAACAGCTCACTGGTCTTTTATTGAAACCATGAATCATTTGATTCTGCACTTTTCCCCCTCTCTTTAAGTCAAGGGTTATTGAGTGTGCAGGGGTTCCTGCTTAGTAGGGAACTTTTCTCATATCCTAAGCCTGCCAAAAACTCTGACTCAGCCTTTTTTTAATCTTTCCATGAAACCTACACCAGGCATCAAGTTGTTGTTTAGATCATATGATGACACTGCAACCTCCAACAGAGCATTAAGGTCATACCAACCTAAAAGCTGCTAGACAGGTTTAAATATAGGTTGTTCATCTTATTTCTACTGTATATAGCAGACTGAAGTGTCTTTGTAAACCACAAAGGGAGCAGGTAACCACTGGGATGAAAAGGCTAGTATCACTGCTGGAATCTGTCATGCCGGTGACAGGTAGTTTCCAAAGTGGGTTTGCTTGTTTCAGTGTAGATTTTATTGTTTCAAAAATTTTTAGCTTAGGTATTACAATGCAAAACACATTGACTCACAGTCATACAGACTTCCCAGTCTCAATAATGCACCAAGGCAGCCTCATGCTTGTTGTGTGACGAATTTGACCAAATTGACAAAGAAATGTACTCAAAGTATAAAAGTAAAATGTACTCTCTTGGTTTCTCTGAAAGACAGTTCTACTGGCTGTTTCAGTGCCAAGCTATCTGAAACTTCAAATAGCATCGAGTCTCCCTCGCTTGTCTTTTTCACCTTTTATGTCAGTACATCTTTTACGGTGTTCGTGGCATTTCGTCATATTATGTCTAGTGATATGCATCGGTCTTGATGTTGGGAAGGTGTGCAATGAGCTGCATATTATTCCGTCTATAACGTTGCATACAGTTGTGCAACAAAAAATAAATGAGATATTTACTTGACTGAACACTCAAATGGATCAGACAGCTTCCTGGAAGCAATAATAATAATAATAATAATAATAATAGACAACAATTCCCCTCAAATGCATTGAAACTAAAGTAACAAGCCTGCTTTGAAAATGTAAGGAGTAGAAAGTACAGATATTTACGTGACAATGTCGGGAGAAAAAAAAAAGAGTTATATTAAAAAGTTATCAGAAAAATCAGATACCTGAAAACACTAGAATGTAAATATTTGAACTTTATTACTTTCCACCTCTGGTCATAATGTATCTCAAATTAACCCAAATTTGACTCAGAGAATCAGCGAGCTTAAGCTTTTTGCTGGAGACGTAGAGAGTTTAATGTCCACCAGAAGTTTGGTTGGAGAAAATGGATTCCAAACTGCTTACTAGACAGAAAGAGTCATTTAGAAGAGTCTCTTAGTGTTTCTTTAAACACAAGGATTATTGCAGGACACTAAGCACATAGCAAACTCTGCGGAAAGCCTTAAATTCTGCAGGAGTCTGACTGCACAGAGTTTATATTTAAAAGGGACTCAGAGGGAGTCTTTTCCTGGTCAATTAATATCATGGCCTCTCAAAATGAAACATGTTCTGGTATTGTTTTCTACTAGTACTGGATGAGTGAAACCAGAAGGACTGTAGAAAGATATAGATATATATCAGTTGAAACACTGGGAAAGAACGCTGAGTGTATTTGGGGATTTGTTATTAGTCATCGAGATATTTTTAACCTCATAGAAATTAGGTCATGAAATAAAAATAAGGAAATAGCTGCTGAAATAAAGGTGGGGTGAAAGAAAGGGAGTTCCCCTCAGTTTGACACAGTCACATGTTGGCTGCAGTTTAGGCTATCTGACTAAAACCTGACAACAAGGAAGAAAAACAAAATGTAACGTCAGAATCCGAGGTGACTTCAGTGACATTACAAATACAAGTCAAAAGCTAAAACATGATTCCTGTTGTAATACAGCATGTTTATATTCTGCAGGCTGTTCAGTCTTCAGTGGATAAGAGGACATTTAATGTTAAAAGGACTAGTGTATAAGATTTAGTGGCATCTAACAACCTGCAAAAAAGGGCCTTTGTAGATCCAGTGTTTGGTTTGTCTGTTCTGGGCTACTGTAGAAACATGATGGTGTAACATGGCGGACTCCACAAGAGAGGACCCACTCCCTCTGTAGGTAAAAACAGCTCATTCTAAAAAGGTAATAAACACACAACAGATCCTCCTGAATGTTACACACTGGATCTTTTCATTTAAACTGAATCAAATAAATGAACAAATAATAACTGAAGCTGCATTAGGGGCCTTGAGGGCAGCAGGACCCACTGTTAATACAACATTTACAATATTTATTTCTATATTTTTAGAAATTATGAACACAACTCAACATCAATGCGCTGTGCTCCTCTCAGGCGCTGCGTGTTCATGTTTGTTGGGAGTGTGGCTTTGGAAGGAGGCCTGAAACAAGGGGGGTTGGATTTCTTTAAAAATCTGGCCGTTACCTAGCATAACTTTAAGTATTGGTAAAAAGAATTGGGATGATTTGGAGGATTAGATGTTGAAACCTTTCACCTTATGTACAAAGGCAAAGAGAAAACGCCAAAGTGAACCAATATTGTCCAGAGGAAGAAAAGTGCATTAAAGTTGCAAAAAAAGACAAATTCCATCTAAATGACTCATGACTTCACATAATTCATCCTCTCATGATACATTTAGACTGTGCAGACTTTTCTGTTTGCTTGCTGTAATGGTTCTCCCTTAAAAGCTCCTACAAATGGAGCTACAGTTGAATCTATACTGTGTACATTTGCAGTGGGTGCGTAAACATTCTCAGTATGTTTATTACCATGCAGGAACTCTTGCAGAGCTTCATAGAAGTTTCTCTTTTAGTTTATACTTTTTGTAAACAGCATTTAAGATTAAATCCCACAACACAGCACAAGACTTGGTTTGGCAGGAATGAACTCTATCCTTCACAAAAAATGGACAGTTAAAAAAGGCCAGAAAGACAGAGACTAAGAAAAGAGTATACCCCAAAGAGAGACCATTAAAAAAGAAAGTTGGCTTTCTCTGGATTATATTATGGTAATTTCCCAGACATACAAAATACAGATAAACATCTCAGCAGCACATGTACTGCCAATGCTAATAGGTGGTAATGATAAAGTAGTACTGACCTACTTCAATATCGATCTTGTTGATGGGGTTTTAACAGGGAGAGATGGAAAAAATGCAGCACAAACTGCAAAAAGCTCCAGGCCATTCTCGCCAGAATATCCTCTAACAATAACCTAAAAACTCACCTAATTGCTATTCATCTCTTTTCTTCTTTTTTTTGGAGAATCCTATAATTTTCTTGCCGCCTGGGAAGTAACCTCTGCTGGACAAAAATGTTTATTTCAAGATCCATTAAGAGAATTAAAAGCTTTAATTGTTTATGCGATTCACTGTCACATGAGAACGTTTGAGACATTTAGAGAATCTGCTATGACTCACTGCTGTAATTACGTAAAGGGATTAGCAGTCATGCTTGACGTCAAGGGCCCCGCATTGAAAATGTTACCCCAATCTTACCTAACCCTAACCTGCCAACACTCAAATTTTCTAGGTTTTCTCCCATATGTCAGAACCATTTCCCAGCACCCTCCCCTTTAGGAGTTTTTCCAAGAAAACTTCTGTAATTTTCCATATACAAAGAGCTACAATAACTTAACATAGGCTGCTGGCTAAATGTCAGGGCAGGACGGTGAGTTGGACCGACGGTTACCATTTCCCATCCCCTCCGCACTCCTGGCAAAAAAAAAATCTCCCGTATTTTTAAATCTTAATGTTGGCGTGTGACCTATAAAGAAACTTGACCATCAGCGAGAAGACTGAGCACAAGAGAACATTGTGAGAAATGCCCATAAAATTACCCAGAGCTCACAATGAGTTAGATTCTGTTCAATGGGCTTTGCCATTACTAAGTGAATGTGTGTGAAAGGTTGAATGGGCCATGTAGTGTAAATGCGCTTTGACTGATCGGAAGACTAGAAAGGTGCTATAGAAGTACAGATCCATCTTCAAATGTCAGTTTACTGTAATTTTAGGCATTATAGAAAATTCGCACATTTGAAATGTAAGAATCTCAAGTAAAGTAAGTATGCACTGAGGTACAGTACTGGTACCACCCTCGCACTCACTGTGTGCCTTATTTCCTAACTGACTCTTGAACTGAAGTCATGCAGTGACAGTTGAGACGGCGCTGCCCCCTGCTGGGTATTGTTTTGAACTTACATTGCAGGCCTCACTGTTGTCGGGTCTGTGTGGGAGCAAGAGGGAAAAGACCTTGAGTGCCCCCTCACACTCCTCCACAGTCTGGTTCAGCTCCTGGCAGCTTGTCACCACCGTGTAAAAGTGGGTGGGGACGGGGGGTCCATCAGCTGAGAACCTGGACAGAGGAAGGGGGTCAGAGTTACACAGAGTTATAACAGCAGGGTATTTCACAAAATCAGCTGCATTTCTTTTGTTTGGTTTGATTGATTGTGGAGGGCGATGTACATGAATCAACGCTTATATTTTAAACTTCAGTGTAAATGTGCATTTACATTTTACATTAAAAAGTAACAACAAGAAAAAGATACTGTGTAAAAACGCACAATACTTTATCTCAAAATGTAAACAATCCAAAGAAGCTGCTATATAATCCTAACAATAAAGCCACAGTGTTGTCTGCCATGACACTTGAGGCCTTACTCTTTTATCTTCTCTGTGGTGTCTCTGAGGCCGTCGTAGTTGTAGTCAAAGATGGGTCCAGTGAGGACGTTGATGCCATTGTTTTCCTCTGCGTAACGCCTCAGCAGCGTCCCCTGCAGGTAACTCCATATTCCTGCAGACAGGAACAAAAGGGCTGAGGTCACTGATGTGATCATTTACACCTGTGTTAAGGTTTCTTATCTGGATCAGGAAAACTGCATGTTAATGTCGGTGTTAATGCAATCAGATCAGATGCACCACAGGTGTGTTACTCTCTCTCTCTCTCTCTCTCTCTCTCTCTCTCTCTCTCTCTCTCTCTCTCTCTCTCTCTTTCTCATTGCTCACTGGGGTTGGCTGGATCTGCTGATCCCACCGGCTTTGGCTCCTTTTACTCATTATTTTTGTGTTTTATTTTTCGAGGATGCAGGACTCCCATAGTTTCTGTTAATTAGTGGCACTACTTGTAGATAGAATCTGTGTTGCTTTAAAACTAATTACGCTGTGCTCTTTAAATGCTGGTGGTCACAATTGGTTGAGCCAACATGTTAACAGTAATGTTTGGCTAAAACAAGAAGGTCAGACTCTCACTGTGATCAGATCAGAGCCAGTGAAAATAATGAAGTGCTGCATGTTAACACTAAATGCTTGTGTTCCCCATTAAAAAAGGGGGGGATGAATGCATGCATTTGTCAGGAAAAAACAAACATTTCTATATATTATGTAACTGGCTATGAAAAGTTGCAGTAGCACAGGGATCATTAAACCTTTTGACCCTTAGAGAACTACATCCTCCTTCAAATAAACGGAAAAATGAAATCACACAGACTAGCAGGGTTTTTACATCAGAGCTGCAGCAAGGTGTTGAGTTCCCAGATTGTGTGAGACAAATCTCTGTGCACTGAATAAAAAGACTTCCCGTGCTTTGATACTTTCATTTTGCAGGTTGTTATTTAAATGATTTGCAGCTCTCTGATGGGTAAATAACAAAATGCTTCCTCTCCAAAGGATTCCCCTGACCTTTAAAACCTCTGTATAATTACTGTACATCAATATTTATGAAATCCATTAAATGCAGCTCATTGATTAATTCCACTAATTGCTTTATAAGTGCGCTTTTTCTCTGAGTGTGGTGAGGTTTTGAAAATCTTTATTACACATCAGTGAGAAGAATGTTAGGTCCTTAAAAGGTGGTTTGTGGTCACTGTTAGAACTTAGTCATTCATAACCTGCTCTAGGAAGTGAAGCCTTTTCTCTGATAACATCACTCTGGTTGGGTTCTGTGAAAAATGTTTATCTAAATACTGTCACAGCTGCTTCTTCCCCTTAATCCAGATGTAACCAATCCCTTTTCCAGCCTGAAGTAAAAGAAGAAAATAATCTATTTTTCAGAAACGCACTCTGCTGACGACAAGGATGAAATATGTGTCTGCATGAGACAGCGATTCAGAGAGAGAGAGCGTGTTTTGTCCTGATAAGTCCTCTTTCTCTCTACAAAAACAATGGGTATCAGGCCGTCCTCGCTCAGACCTGACATCACCACATTATGTCCTTTGTCTCATGTGATACGACAGGACGCCGCTGGGGTACAGGAAGGCAGAAGGGACGCATAAATCTGGTGATTACAAACAGCTGAATGAGGCAGAAATATCTTAAAAAAAGAGGTTTTAACTCTCGATCTGGAGCTCGTAGTCTGGTTACAGTTTTTGTTGGAGCATCTAAAAGCTTCTCGACTTTTGGAATTGATTGTATTGTTAGGTGTTTCTGTAATGTTGTCCACCAGCTTTAATCTCTGCAGGGATAAACCGAGTTTCTGGTCCCAAACAATCATTCAAACAAGACCAGGTGTGAAGTATAAATAAAATGTTTCCAGTTTCCCTGGAGGTCAGGGAGAATCCTAGACAACACTGATTGGCTCATATTGTCGGACCCGTCTAATCATTAACTTCCTCCTTTGTCTTATTTTCTGATCACATGGTTTGGTTCTTTTTTCCAGGACTTCCCACTATAACATCCCGGTTTCCCCCACATAAGAAAATGAGGTGTGCGACTCACTCTTGAAGGCCGGGTACATGGGGACGGTGTTGGTGATGAGCAAAGCGTCAAATCTGGACTCTGGAGACGACGCCAGCTCTGTCGAAAAAAATCACACAATAAACACATACTCTTAATATTCCATTATCTTATTATACGTTTACACTAATACAGCCTTTTTTCAGATATACCCCCACATTCAACGCCCGTGCTGTAGGTGTGACAGTGGACTCAATATGTAGATATATATTTTCTAACAATAATAATAATAATTTTTTTTTTCATTTCTTTTTCAAATTAGTTGAAGATGAACCCCTGGTTGGGAATAACTGACTCAATTCAATAAAACTGCAGTACAATGTAAATAAATAAGTGTTGCATCAGTTTGATCATTAAATAAATACTGTATACAAAAGTGCAGCAAATATATGAATGCCATTCGTTCAGAGTGACAATATGATAATAACAATATTAATAATAATTACAATAATAAGTATTATTTTCATGTTGTCATCTTATTAATAAAGATATTTCAACTGTTTCAAACTGCAGTCCACATCAGATACTACAGAAGAGATATAGCTTGTAGCAGGTGGAATATTTGTGCTGTGCATTGTCAAAGAAACCGTATTAAGATTAGTTAAATGAAAATTGTAATGCAAAAATTATAATTTCCATTAATCGTGAATCATATCACAATAACAATATCTGTCAAATTATTCACAATATGACCTTTTTACCAGCCCTAATTACCACTTGTCATCCTGCAGGTTTATCTGAGGGGAAGAGGTTTCCCTAGGGGGAAGAGGTTTACCTGGGGGGGAAGTGGTTAACCTGGGGGGAAGAGGTTTACCTGGGGGGAAGAGGAAGCCATAGGTGAGCTGGTTGTTCTGGCTGTAGGTGGTGCAGCTCTGACTGTGATCAGCTGGCACTCTGGAGTCGACTCGGACACACTGAATGCCGGGGGAAACCTCCGGAACAGGAGTCATGTCCTCCTGAGAGACAGCGACAGCAAAGGGGACAGAGAGAGAGAGAGAGAAAGTGGACAAATATATGTGAGTTGTTTTGCTGTCATATAGAGTCTGATGTGATGTAGCTCGGACCATCTGCTGCTGCTCTCTTTAAGTCTTCCTGTGTAAGGAGGTTGGATGACGCGGGGGGGGGTATTATGTAATTATGTGTTTCTGTTGCCATGTGGGCATGTGCAGGAGTTGCTGTGTGACTGTGTATTTATGTGTGTGTCCCACCTGAGAGCAGCCACACCTTGTAAAACCTGCAGCTCGTTCCTGTAAACATCTGACAAACATGTGTGTTCAGTGTCAGAGAAACACAGTCTGTGTGTTTTGTGGGACATGTTTGTGTTTATGTTTGCATGTTTGTGCAGCTCTGTCGTGTTCTGCCCTGTATGACACACTGTCACTCACTGTACACAGCACCATGTATTGTGAGTCATTAACATGGCCTGCGTCAGAGTTTTACAACCTGACACCCGGAAGGTCAGGAGCTGAAGGGGGTCAGGGAAAGTCTTCAAACTTCAAATTTTTAAAAAGTAATTTACTTTTTCTACCTCATAAAAAAATCTACAATCTATGAATATGCAAATTATGTTTTCTTGCTGGACGCGAGGTGTCTCCTACTTCACTGTGAAGTCCATTCTCAGTATGTGTGCACTGGTGGATCACACTGTAGAAGATGCATACTGGACCAAAATATTGGGATCTCACAAATTGTGCTTGTAGGCCCCACCCCTTAAAAATCTTTTTAAATTTTCATAGACCACAGAGAATCTTTCCACATTCAGCAGATGAAAGCAAAAACATCCTTCTAGTGTCAAACTCTGCACACAAATCATTCTGCACAGCGAAGCTCAAACATCCAACTGTACGACAAGAACTGATTTTTAACTGGAGAGGGACCTTTAAATTCAATTTCTGTGTTCAGAGTGGCAATTTATTTGATGTAATTTCAGCTCACTATTAAAAATCAGCTTGTGGAGACCTGAAACTTGCTGAAGATTGATAATCCATCACAGAATAAATAAGCAAATTTGTTATAATCATGACCTAATGACAAGCAGAATTTATCTTCCTAATTGTGCATTCAGAGAAGCTCTAATAATACAGAAGTAATGATATACAGGCTTCTGAAAACCACTGTTGTTGAAAACTCAAACCAAGACAAATAAAATATACATCATTACTACAGTAATTTTTAAAGCAAAGGGAGAATTTGTAAGTACGTGTGTGTGTGTGTGTGGGTGTGTGTGTGTGTGTGTGTGTGTGTGTGTGTGTGTGTACCTGTCGTAGCAGTGTGTATGCTGTCCACAGAGGCATGGCCAGCTCTCTGCTGTACCCGCTGATGAACTCCACATGATGAAGCAAACTGTACTGAGTGTCAAACATCACGGCTGGACGACCAAACGGGAGGTGTGTACTGTCTGCACAAACACACACACAGGGACACACACAGTTACTCCCTATTGGCTGAGAGAAGAATGAAGTTTAATCAAACAGGCCAAAAACAAAAGTATAAGAAACCTACTGTAACTGTAGATTCCATCTGGTGGAGGACTGAAGGCTTTAAGGATCTCCTCCACTTTGTTCTGCAACAGAAAAATACATGGCAAGATGTTATTCTGCCCCCTAATGGAGGAACATGGACTGATGCAGTCTGTACAGTCAGCTCAGTCAGGCATGATGTTTTGTGACGCCACTGTGCTCCTCTGACCTCATCGTCACAGCTGCAGCCCAGGTCGTGGGTCACAGTGGCATCAGGGTCGGACGTCGGCGATGGTGGCGTCACTTCCTCTGGCATGCTGGGGTGGTACAGCGGCTCTTTCAGCATATCGTTCAAGCTGCCGTGCGTGCCGTTGTTAGGGGCCGGCTTCAACCCCAACAAGTCTGACAGAGAGATAAAAACATGATAGGAACCATCAGAAATGTATCTGAACGTGTATATTCTGGGTTAAAATCAACCAGGTTCAGAGAAAAGGTTTTGGAGTTATCTAAACACATCACAGAAGAAAATGTTTAACTCCCTAATTATGACATTACTATGGCATCACTGAAGTCCTGCCCATACTGACTAAATCATGTCATTTAAACTAGGTGAAACAAGGAAACCATTTAGGGAAAATAATAATCTCACCACACATGACGTTATATAATTCTATATTTTCAAACTCTGGCACTCTTTTCTGGAACTTGAAGCTCGGCCCATGACCCATGAATATGGTCTGCATGAAGGAAAGAAGAAATGTACAAAAAACATAAGGTTCTCTACTAAATCAGCATTAAAATGAGTGTATAGCATCTGTATTACACCTATTAAACAGTAGATGAACAGTGGTTGCTTCATGTTAGTGATACATCGGAAGCGATTTGCCGATGATGATGAGGTGTTTTTTACAGTTCAACAAATGGTAACACCGGACGAAAAAAAATGGTTTATCTGGTTTCAATCTTAAATCAATAATCCTGTAACCTTAGAGGTCTATTGTAGTTACAGTTAGAATAAAACATATATAATACAGGAGAGAAAAATAGGTATAAAACACCAAAGTACCCTCATGCTGGTTATCTTGTTATCAAAGCCGTGGTCACCAAAGAAACCACACCGAGTCCTCAGTTTTTCTGGCATTTTCCTGGAATAAATACAAAAATATACATAGAATATTAAAATATAGTGAAAACTGAGAGAACATTGAGAATAATTCCTGCCATGATTTCTCCGCATGAAGTGAAACAGAAACTAAACAGATCTTAAGTTCTCTCACTGCTTGGTGAAATTCCACAAAATCAGTTGTTAATTTTGATGACAGGAAATTTTTCACTTTATCAGAATATACTAATTTCCCTTTACCCAACAGACTTAGAATATGTTCTAAGAACCTTTTGACATTTTGTCTTTTTTCTACCTGATGAAAACAACTTTCTAACTGAACCACACAGACAGAAGGACTGGGCTCTTGCTGTTGATAGTGTAAAGGTAAAAAAGCAGAGCACTTACATCCATCACAAGTTTGTGTCCTTAGGTTACAATTAATCAATAATGAAGATAATAGTTATTGTAGTCATCATTTTTTTTTGCATTTTTACTGGGCAGTCCATGTTGTCAAATGTCTCTCAGGTCTTCTTTGGTCATTTAGGCTCCAGTCAAAAGTTTTCACAGATTCAAGAGTTTTAGTTAGACTGGATCTTAAACTCAGCTGCACTAAAAGGTGGACCTGAGAGCTGGTTCGGGTTGGGTGATGTTGGGTTCTCAATGCCGAGGAGAGCCAATGACTTTAACTAAATGTGAAATAGAGAGCACAGGCTGCTCGAGGCTTCCCTTGATTGTGTCATTTCATTTGAACTGAATCAGTACGTCACAGGTTACCTGGCAATGTGCCACTTCCTCTCCATCAGCAGGTGGACGTCCTCGATCCTGCGGTTGTTGGCGTAGTGAAGCCTCTTGGGTAAATGCTGCTTCAGGTACGGCTTGAAATGCTGAGTCGGCATTTTACACTGAAACAACAAATATGTAGGTGAACGACCTTACCCCTCTCTCTCTCTCTCTCTCTCTCTCTCTCTCTCTCTGAGAAATTACTGGAACAATGGTTTTGTTTTTGTAGTACTTACAGTGAGGTTTGCAACCACAACTTTGGGGTCATCTGGAAAGGAAAATATATTACATCAAAATGAAGCCTGTTTGATTTTGTGAAAATATTCTGATACAGTCTCATGTTAAAATGACCACTCTCATCTTACATGTGGTGGATTTGGGGTCGCGGGGTCGTATTCTGCCCAGTGAGCCAGGGATCAGCATGATCTCGTCTATGTTGAGCGGGTAGCTGCTGAGAAATTCTGTCCGATCGCAGTGGGTCTCCTCCATACCTGAGAGACAGAAAAGACAGCCACGGTTTCTGTTATTATTATTTAAAGGTCAGTAAACCCTAAGTAATGTAAAAGAAACATAATTTTTTTGTTCTTGTTGATAGTTTTGTTATGTGCCAACATTTTGACACAACTGTTTCAGACAATACACTGGAGCTGAACAGGACTTAAGCTTAAAGTTTCTTTCCAACAATGTCCCAGTTACTCTGAATCTGCAGGGCTCACTGTCAACAGTTTCTACAGGGCCTATTTCTTTTGTAGAAGTCGTTCCAGTAAAACTGATTCAGGGAATTAAACTTGAAGTCTTTATGAATCGAGCCAACTCAACCCACATGACACTGCCAAATATGAGACCTGAATGCGACCCAAGACCAGAGGCTAATCTCTTTTATTATGGGCTGTTGGCTCACCAGGCTAATGCAAGTCATTGGCAACACTTTCTTCTCCCCACTGGGGACTGTGCATGAAAGAGAGTAACTACTTTACAAATTAAAAGAGAATATCAGAAACCCAATACTTGGGTTTGAGGTAGCAGAACTGTACTGTGCAATATCCAAAGAAACAATGAATTGTTTTTTGACAGACAAGCCATAGTTGAGCTTTTGTGGTGTTGGTTCTTAATTCTTTGAGGATCGCAAGTTTCATTCACCTCTATTGTTTGGGGTTGGTGGCAGAAATATCTACAGATGTGTTAAAACTCAAGTGCATAAAACTACAACACAGTGAGACGGTGAACTGACTGCAGTAATTTAATATGAAGATAAGAAGGCACGATTAAAAGCCAGAGCACAGTCAGAATATATATATTCATATATAACAAGCTTTATAATGTATTTGTTCTTTTTTGGGTATATCTTTTGTAAGTCATCCATTTACCTATTAACTTTAAACAAACTGGCCAGATTTAACTGAAAAAAAAAGAGATAACACAAATGTCCAGGCTTCAAAGATTATATGGTGGTCCTACCATGGTCTCCTACGACAATAACGTTGATGCAACGATGCAGGTTCATCTGCTTCAGACCGTTCATCAGCTGACCGATGATGTTGTCGATCTCCCTCAGAGGGTTGTCCAGCTATACATGGGGGAGGAAAAACAGCATGTAATAATGCAATGGAGCACGACCCCAATGACGCACACACTTCCACCCTCAGGCCTCACACTCACCTCACTGCTGAGCGGTCCCAGCCGATGTCCGAAGGTATCGGGCTGCTCTGAGTGGACAGCGTAAACGTACGGCCTGAAGAGAGACAACACACACAGTTTAATCTTGATCTCCACCTGAAAAATCCGTTGAGCCTTGTAAAAAACTTGTTTCTGGCAGTGATCGTCTCACCTCAACTCACACAGAACAAAGAAACATGAAAACCTTGTCAACCCACTGCCTCAGTGCACTAAAAACAGCTTGTGACCCCTTCACTGACCCAGCTTCAGCTCAACACTAAAAACAACCTTTATCTTGAGGTCTCCAAGAGGCACTCACCGAAACGCCTGACCAAACATAAAACACACAGCACTTCTCATATAAACCCATATACTCTCTTGAGATCTTTGACATACATTTTAAGATATATATGAATGAGCATTACCTCGCCAGAAATTAGAGAAATAAATTCTTAAGTATACATACTTCCAGTAAAACGTGCATAAGACCACAGCTTGTTCATACAGCTGCTGACAGAATAACCACAGTCACTTTATGCTCATAATGAGCGTGAGGAGTTTCCAGGGAAAATAAACTTGAAACCTGACCTGAGTTGAGTAAGTACTCAGCAATATGGGGAAAAAGTTAGGCTTTAATATAGAAATCTGGCATGTGTGTTAAGGTAAAAGGGAAAAAAAATAATTACATAATGAGCCTCATTCATAGTTTCCTGTTCTATGCAGTGGTGACATTTTATTCACCAGCTTTATGTCAGCTGTTGACATGCATTTAAAAAAACACTCCATTATAATCATTCCATGATGAACTTAAACACAGTTCTTTATATTCTGGGGACAGACAACCTGGAGAGAAAAAAGAACCATAACCAATAGTTATAATGCTCAAAAGTACAGTTGTACTGCAGCTGTGCTGTTCCCACAGCAGACATTTTGACAAACACAAGTATGACTAATAACATCAGTAATGACTGCAGTCAGTTTAAATCAGCCAGTTCCAGGAGCCCGGTGTTGTGCATATGGTTTTGGCTCTGTGTCTTGGCTTATTGGGACACTTCATTGGAACTGCAAGTCAAAGTTTCTGCAATGAGAAAGACCCACGTTTCCAAGACCCAAATAAAAGCTGCATTTTTCTCAAAACCCTACATGAAGAGTAGACATACCTCTCATCATCGGGCAGATGCAGCCAGCGCAGGATGGTCAAAATCCTCCTCTCCAGAGGAATCACCCTGGAAACCAAACACGGTGAATGATGATGAAGAAGCAGGTTGTCAGTTTAAACTATAAGTTAAAGTTCCAAGTTCATGGACTTTTACTAATGTAAACTAAAATCCACTAAAATATATTTAGACTGTTTTTCTGCAATCGATCAGTTAACTTCAATAATTTCTTCATTGAAGCCATCAACCTGTCTATTAGACCCGATCCCAACTAGGCTGCTTAAAGAAGTTGTTGCCTTAATTGGCACTTCTTTACTGGATATGATCAATCTTTCTTTATTATCAGGATATGTACCACAGTCCTTTAAAGTAACTGTAATTAAACCCCTTCTTAAAAAGCCCACTCTTGACCCACTCTTTTAGCCAACTATAGACCGATCTCTAACCTCCCCTTCCTCCCTAAGATTCTGGAGAAAGTAGTCACCAAAGAGTTTTGTGACTTTCTACATAACAATAGTTTATTTGAGGATTTTCAGTCAGGATTTAGAGTTCATCATAGCACAGAGACAGCTCTGGTTAAAGTTAATAATGACCTTCTGATTGCCTCTGACAATGGACTTGTCTCTGTACTTGTATTATTAGATCTTAGTGCTGCATTTGACACCATAGACCATAATATTCTTTTACAGAGACTTGAGCATCAAATTGGCATTAAAGGGACCGCACTAAGCTGGTTTAAGTCATATTTATCAGATCGTTCGCAGTTTGTACATGTTAACGATGAATCTTCAATAAATACTACAGTTAGTCATGGAGTTCCACAAGGTTCTGTACTTTTTACTTTGACCAATACTATTTACTTTATATATGCTCCCTTTAGGCAACATTATTAGGAATCACTCCATTAACTTTCACTGTTATGCAGATGATACACAGTTATATCCATCGATCAAGCCCGATGAAATTAATCAATTATCTAAATTACAAACATGTCTTAAGGACATAAAATCCTGGATGAGCTGCAATTTTCTGATGTTAAACTCAGAAAAAAACAAAATTCTTGTTCTTGGCCCCAAAAACCTTAGAGACTCACTGTCTAAAGATATAGTTACTCTAGATGGCATTACCTTGGCCTCTAGCACCACTGTCAGGAATCTTGGGGTTATCTTTGATCAGGATTTGTCATTTAACTCCCACATAAAGCAGACCTCTAGGACTGCCTTCTTTCATTTATATTGTTGTAATATTACAAAACTTTGACACATCCTATCACAGACAGATGCAGAACAACTAATCCATGCATTTGTTACTTCAAGGCTGGATTACTGCAACTCTTTATTATCCGGTTGCCCCAATAAGTCCATTAAAACGCTCCAATTAATTCAAAACGCTGCAGCACGAGTACTGACAGGAACTAGAAAAAGAGATCACATCTCTCCTGTACTAGCTTCTCTGCATTGGCTCCCTGTTAAATGTAGAATAGAATTTAAAATCTTCCTCCTCACCTATGAAGCTCTTCATGGTCAGGCCCCTTCATATCTTAAAGAGCTCATAGTACCCTATTACCCCTCTAGAACACTACGTTCTCTGAATGCTGGGCTACTTGTGGTTCCTATAGTCTCTAAAAGTAGAACAGGAGCCAGAGCCTTCAGTTACCAAGCTCCTCTCCTGTGGAACCAGCTTCCAGTTGTGGTTCGGGAGGCAGACACCCTCACCACATTCAAGAGTAGGCTTAAGACGTTCCTCTTTGATAAAGCTTATAGTTAGGGCTGGATCAGGTGAGTCCTGAACCATCCCTTAGTTATGCTGCTATAGGCCTAGACTATTGGGGGATTTCCCATGGTGCACTGAGCTCCTCTCTTCCTCTCTCTTTCTGCACTCATTCATGTTCCATTAATGCATGTTACTAACTCCACTTCTTCCCTGGAGTTCTTGTGCTTTCTCGTCTCGCAGGTTCTTATCGATCCTGGTGGAGCCTCCTGCCATGGTCCTGCTAGATTGCCATTGCCAATACTGTTGTTGCTGTGCACCTGTCTGTCTGTCTGTCTCTCTGTCTCTCTCTCTCTCTCTCTCTCTCTCTCTCTCTCTCTCTCTCTCTCTCTCTCTCTCTCTCTCTCTCTCTCTCTCTTTCTCTCACCCCAACTGGTCGTAGCAGACGACCACCCACCTAGAGCCAAAGCATCTGTCCTAGGTTCCTGCCTGGCAGTTTTTCCTTGCCCTTGTCGCCAAGTGCTTGCTCATGGTGGTACTGTTGGGTCTCTGTAAATAATGTTATAAAGAGTTCGGTCTAGACCTGCTCTATTTGAAAAGTGTCCTGAGATAACTTCTGTTATGAATTGGCGCTATACAAATAAAATTGAATTGAATTGAACTGACTTTTATCACATATTCTTCACAGGATATATTTGGATATTTACTGGATTAAAAGAACCACCTGTTCTTATGAATGAAAAGGGAAAAGGGGGAGCTGATCTGTCTGTAATTGTCTGTGTCCTCGCGCAAAGACAGTAGAAACAGGGAGTAATAGACGGAAGTCTTGTTACAAGCAATATCTATAACATCGAGATATAAAAACCAGTCTGTTGCCTTTCCTTTACCACTTTGCCTTGATTCAATTTATTTTTGCTCGATGCTCCAACAAGCTGCTGTTTCGGCGGCTTTGAGTTTTCAATGGCCTCTGTTGTGAAAGAGTATGTGGGGGAATTGTCTTGTGATTGTGTGTCTGTGTCATTGGGGCCATTGTCAGGATGTGATGAGCGCTCAGCCTCTTAGCCTCGTGATCATTATGTCATGGATATGCAAATTCTTTCTGAAACTAATCTGTCTGTGCAGTCATTTAGGTGCAATAAAGAGAAAATCACCCTTAAATCTTTATCTGATAATAAACTAAGATCAGCTCTGGATCGTAGAGAAAACGGATTACTATTCCTGCTTCTTTATACATTTGTAATGACATCATGAGTTAAATTTAGGAAATGGGAATACAAAATCAGTTTAAACCAATTAATTTAAATAAATGTTTGTATTTTTTTTGAAAAAAAAATTAACAATAATTAGCCATACTGGGTGATTTCAAGGAATATTCTATTTTCCGGTATTTCAGAGTTAACAAAACAGATATATTTTGGCAAGTTTCCAAATATCTCAGTACTTTTTATATAAAGCCACGGAGTGAAGCTAAAGAAAGCTCCCTTTTTTTGTTTTGTTCAGACTTTAATCTGTGATTATCTGTATAATTTTTTTCAGCTCCCTGTTTAAGCGTTATTATAATAAGGAAGCGTTCTCTCATGAGATTCACCAGTAACACAAAATGTATATCAGGAAGCCTGTTGTGCAGCATGATCATATACGTAGGAGGCTATTGTATGCTGTGGATTTTATATTGTAAATTCAGCTTTTAGAATAAATGTTGGACCAAAACACAGTATACAGTAACCCATATTCTTTGCCTCCTAAACCAACCATGAATCTTTATGCTCTCAACTTCAAGGTTCTGGAAGTTACCGGTGCCGTGCTGCGTTCAGTGTCTAAAGCTATTGAAAAATATTCCAGTACTAACTTAAGTACCAAGGCCAGAAGAAAGTGCCTGCTTTCACTCCTTGTTCCTCCGCTGTGATCCAGATCTGTGAAACAGAACAAGAAGGAGGTTATCAAAAATCAAATGTCCCTCCTCAGCACACTATGCTTAAAAATCCCACAGTGTAATGCGTCACCTTTGCACCTGAGGTCATACTGCTGTGTCTCAGTTCCATACTACTAACTTATTGTATACAATGTTCAGATCAGTTTAATCTCTCTGAATCCAGGACCATCATAGATATAGGTTCAGGAAGTGTTTTTTTTGCATAGCTTAGCACAACACACTAATAAGAACATACCTATGAATATTGTGTTCCATTTCTGCCAATAGATCCTCCTAAATGTTACACACTGGACTTTTAATGGGCCTCCAGGATATGAAACTAGACTGTGAGATTTGTGACTTACAAAGTTTCAGTTGTGTCAGAGCCTGAAATCAGTCTAAAAAAGTGACAATCCGTAACTGACTGCTAACCAGTGCAGGCTCGGTTTCTTTCACTACAGTTTATTTAGCCTGCATGTGAGTCTGAACTGAATCCAATCCAGTCACAGGCTGGTATCTAGAGTGTACTCACAGGCTGTCCGCCCCACCAGCGGTGGTTCAGTTTCTCTCTGGTGCGCAGGCTGAAGGTGGCATTAAACACCGGGTCATGCATGGTGTTCCCCACAATCCCATGGGACTCTGGGTAGAGACCCTGCAGAGAGAGCAATGCGGCCGCAGTTAATGAAAACCAGCCCTGCAGCAGCGTCACAACATCTACAGGCCGTAGGACCTTTTGAACATGGCTATTGGCAAACATTTGTATTGACTTAGCCCAACATAGGAGTACATATTAACAGCACTGCTCTACTGTCCCCTCTGGTGTTGCATGATAAAAAATATGAACCGGTCATTCAGACATTACCCAGGATCACTTACTGTGGCTAGTGTGTATAAATTTGGGAAGGTCTTTGATGGGTAGACTGGTCGCATGTAGGGTGCTGAAGTACCACATGCGCCTAAGAGGAAGCACATGTAAACTTTTCATTATTAAACTTCATAAAAACATATTTTAAGCACTACAATCAAGATCAAACCTGCAATTAGATGATACATTTATCTTCAGCTAAATTACAGGAGGAGCTTCACACAGTCACACAGATCAGGACTTCGCTACAACTGCATTTAGGAAACGGAACGTAAGAAAAAGTACAGAAGACATACGGAGTTTATGAATGTTGGGAATGACAGATTTGCCCTTCTTCAGGTAGGAGGCTCTGAACCCATCGACAGACAGCATGATGAGGGGAGGACGGATGAAGCTGAGCAAAAAAAAGAAAAATTCACCAGTGGCAATTGCATCATTTTAAAAGGACAGAATGAATATGGTAGGTGTTGATTAAATAAATCTTCATCCATCTTCTCTTAAATAAAATAAAAACAAAATGTGTCATATTACAGCGTCAGCACACACAGTGGCTCTTATGTTTCACTGTTGCTGAGTTTTTCAGCTTCAGACTCACCCTGCAGGGCATTCCGCACTCTTGATGTCCTCACAGTCTCCTTGCACCCATGAAGTCTCACCTCACATGGAAACAACAGCACAGAGTGATTGCCTACTTCTATGCACATTCACTCTCCATTTCTAATCATGTATATGTATATTGGTAAAAGTGTCAAACTTCTCTGATTTCAGCTTCTCAAATGTGAGAATATACTCTAACCTCTGTACATGTAATATCTTTGGAAACAGTGATCAATATTTTCACCATTTTCTGACGTTATGGACCAAGTGACTTATCGATTAATCGATTAAACTGATCGACAGATTAATTGATAATGAATAATATAATGAGAATAAGCATTAGTTGCAGCCGTACTCTCACAATAAGTACCTTTGCAGAGTGACTTATAGTTGGAGCAGCAGTCTCCCTTCTCCAGACAGTCCTCTGAGCAGTGGCAGGCGTGGTCGTCATTCCTCTCCTCCCCGCAGCGAGCCTGAGTGCACTCAAAACCTCCCGCTGAGATAGAGGAAGGAGGGAAGTTCATTAACATTAAACCCACCCAATGAGGCTGAAAAACATCGTGGACAAATGGCATTGACAACTTAAATCTCCTCCAGTCTGTTACGAATTATCCGGTTACAAGCAACGCAGACCTTGTAAAAGAAAACCCTCACAAGTAGCTCATGGTTGTAGAATTCATAAGCTACAATCATCATATTGTTTTGTTCTGGAAAATGTCCCAGCCTGGTTAGCTTAATGTTTTCAAGATGAAATTGTCTCTTTATCCGGCCAAGGCCTAAATTACTATCAGATGAAAATTAGCATTTTGGCTAACTCCCAGACTTTGTCAATGATGTAACAGCTAAGTGTTTATCATTGTGTAAGCTGAGCTTTCTGAGTACTGGAGCTACTGCAGTACTGCTGTGAACTATTATAATAGATAACTCTACTGCTACTGATATTAGTCAATCTGTGTGTGTACAAAATGTGCAAATAAACCGGAAAATAGTCGTCAATAAACACACTATTTACTTCCATCAATGGAAACTCAAACAGAAAAACAACATATGCACACACAGTGTATAACATACGGAGACTCTGGATCAGTCTGGTGATCTTCTGTCTATTCTTATTGTCAACAAATCTCATGACAAGATCAAAACTAACAGTGAATTCACAAACAAGTATTGTATCAAAGCCAAAGACTGCCACAGTTAGGATGGCAGCAGGATTTATTCATGTTGTACCGTAACTTTAGTGGATCATATTGGATATGGAATTCATTTGCAGCTGCTACAGTTCAAGATGAGACCAATGCCTTGTTTTTAGCCTAGCGATTGTTGATCAACTCCAATGGGTAGGTTTTAATGGCATTAACGTCGCTTCACCCTTCCCTTTCAAGAGAAACTATGTTGACTGCAAAAAGCATGAAACACCCCTATCTAGAGCTAATGTTTCTAATGTTTTTGTCCCTTCTGGGCTACTGTAGAAACATGGTGGTTCATCATGGCGACCTCCACAGAAGGCGACCCGCGGCGTCTGTGGATATAAAAGGCTCATTCTAAGGTAACAAGAACATAACGATTCTTATTGTCAGGTGACATCCCCTAATGAAAACAGAGCGAGCGAAGCCTGCGAGCTTGTTCAGGCTCGTCAACTCCAGCTGCGCTGATATTCACACATGACATGCCTCACTCCAAACTGGCGGTCTATTTAAACTGCACAATTTCCCAGCTCTCCCTCTGCTCTGTCAATGCCGCTGTTGCCCTGCATCCGTATTGCTGCTGCTGCTGCTCTGTAAGCTATTGCTGCCTGCTGCGCTGTAAGCCCCACCACCACCCCAGCATCCACCTGTAGGCTCCGACTGAGGGTTAAGGTATTTGCGCATCACTCCCCCAATATCTCTATGTAAACATATGAGGTCGGAGCCTAGACGCCAAAATCTAAATATGCTATACTGCTTTAATAAACATTTCAAACGTGAGTTGTCTGACTGAACTATGAATATCATATTCCATTTCTGCCAATAGATCCTCCTAAATGTTACACGCTGGACCTTTAAGAGGGGTGAGGAGTCAGCAGTTGGTATCAAACAGAGCAACCAATAAAGGAGGTTTTTCAAGGTTTTTACAGACATTTTGAATCAACAACCAGAAGAGGTCCATGAGCATACTGTCATAAATGATCACAAAATCTATGAGGCTGAATGGTTGTGTAAGATTATCTGCAGACAGACACGCAAACATGGACACACACACACACATACACAACTGCCAAACTCATAATCGAGATAATAACACCACCATTATCCTTGAGGATAGAAGTAAGTTGATTCAGTACCCACTGCAGGACATCCTTTAACATGAATACTGGGCTTCCATAGAAATGCTCATCCAACGTTTGGCAAATTTCTACAAAAACATCGATATATGCACTTTGTGTATAAAACCTAAATACACACTGTTCATATAAAAGGAATAAAAAAGAAAAACATTAGTCCATTATCCAGTGATTACTAAACTGCTGATATCAGCTTGAAAGAACTATGAGCACATACATGATGCTTCAATACAAATAAAATGGTTCTCAACTTTAAAATGTCCGTTAATGTCCTTCAAAATACAGACAATCATGGGAGAAAAGTACCAGTCAAAAAGCAAGTTACAAAATTCTCACACTGTTAGAAATCTGTTAAATCAGTACAAAAACTTCATCCCTTTTTTCTTGACCAAAGGCCTTTTTGATACCTGTTAAACTAACTAACAGGACAGAAATCACAGCGTCCTTGTCAGAATATTATGTGAAAGAAGTTAAAACAGGAGACGTGATGAAGTTGGACGACAGACTGACCTGTTTTCAGGCAGTGCTCATCGAAGTCAGTGCAGCAGCTGTAGTAGGTTTTACACAGATTGTCACACCTGCACCCTGGAGGTTTGGCCTCCTCCAGCTCAAAACACCTCCCCTTGCAGGAGCCCGCTGAGCTGATCCACTCTGAGACGACTGGAGAGGGGACAGGGCCACAGTTAGACGCCACTGCCGCAAATATATTATTATTTATCTGAAAAACTCTGATAAAAATCAATCCAATATTTTTCTTTCCTAAGATTCAAAGTTGCACCTTATTTGAAAGGAAATGTGTCAGCATCTTTAAAGAACCATACATTCATGCATGTACAGCACACAGATTACACATGCAGGTTAAAGGGCCTTAACTGCCAACACTACAAACAGTATGGTTTGATTGAAAAATCAAAGCACTCTGCAGGCAGCCTGTGGTGTCAGTTCACTTCAATACACAATGAGAGAGCCAGAAAGCCAAACAGTCTTTCTGTAATGTCAAGGTTTCAGTATCGTAGCATATGTGAGGACTGTTTTTGAAAGCTCATTGGTATCCGAGTTTTGAGAAATCGGCTGCCAAACAGTAATGTTTGTTAATGCATGATCCTTTTATTTCCACACCCATGTTTGCTTTGTGGTGGTTTCTGCATTGGATTTTACTCAGAATTTTATTTTTCATCAACATAACTCATTAATGTAGTGTTTTTCTGTAGCAAACTAGTAATTCTGGGATGTCAGAGGATCCATGAATGCACTGAAATGGTGCTTCCACGTATAGTGTCACATGATGAAAAATAATTGAATAAAACAACTACATGTCACTGTGATGGCTTTAATTCTCTGTAAATTAAAGCACTGTGAAATGCACTGAAACCAATGGCTGTGGAACACAATCTAAAATATAAAAGCGTGATCTGCAATAATGTTGAGTACAGCATGTAAACCACCAGCTTGGTGATTTAAAGAGTATATAATCAGCTTTATTTCACTACATGAGGAATTGTTTTGAATGTCAAAAAGCAGATCTTTCCATTTTGTCCTGAATCAAACATCTACAGCTGTTCTCACCTTTAGTGTGAGGTGGTGGGTTGTCTCCTCCATCTGAAGGTCTACTGGCTTGAAAAACATAAGCTCTGCTGACATCAGTACCCCACAGACAGAACACAACCACTACCTGCAGAAAACACATTACAAAAACATACATGATTATTTATTGACTCCGATAAAGGAAATCTCTGTCCACTGTCCACTCAAGGGTCCCAGGTCAAAGGTCAGGCATCTCTGGGACGAGTAGAGCCTCAATGTCTTTTTACTCAAGGACACTTCAAGGTGCAATAGGTAAGAATTGGTCAAATTCAAACTCTAAATAGAGGGAAGCATATCACCAGAGAAAACGATATCAGCTGCTAACTGTAGCTGCCGTAACTTAACTGTGCAGCTGGCGGTCCAAGTAGCTGTATATACTGTATGCTTTGGAACGAAGAGAGGAGGACGTTTTCTGGCCCAGGGCGAGAGGGATGCTAGCCGTGACTGATGCTGGACCGGCCAGCGGGCAACGGAACAGGGCAGCCCCAAATACAGCCTCTGAGACCAACGGAGGCCAGTTTGATGACAGGGAATACAGTACCGAGGTAATTTACAGCGGTTCTAACCAGGACTCTGACTCTCTGTCTCTGGGGACAACAAAGACATGGTGGAGACCAAATTGAGACCAAACCAGAGCTTGTGATTGTTGGAATTGTGGTGAGACTAACTAAGCAAGTTGTGGCCAGTTTTATTTTGTTTCTGTTGAGTTTGAATGAAAAATGTTTTATGATGAGTTAACAAGTGAATTAAGCTAGTCTTCAGAAGGTGTAGGGTTGTATTCTTCTCTCTAATGAGAAAAATAGCTGTAATACTATTTCCTTATTTCCGTTTCTTTTGTTTATTTATAGACTAAACAAGCTGAGAGAGCGTAACGAGCTATACTGAGCATCAGACTATCGCTTCTTGAGGTACAAGGTGGTATTATGAGAAAGGACAGGCCGAAGGAAGCTGGTTAGCATGCTAACTTTAGTAGATATCTCTGCAACACAATATATAGACGTCTTTGACACAACGACAAAACAAAAATTCTGACATATTACACCTTTAATGAGGATACTGATTAAAATAAGGTCTGGAAAGGGGGTCTCTATGCTACCTTGTTGCCCTAACAAGGAGTTTGTTTTCTTCACCTCTGAGACACATTCTCACCAAAGGGGTCAGAGGTCAACGGGCAGCCAGGAATGGCAATGCTAAAAAAGTGAAGTGTGTCCTTCTATAGCTCAGAGAGAAGAGCCTGGCACTACAGATAAAGGTTCAGTTCCCATCAAAGCTACACAATGTGCTGTACGCACGGAGCTGAAGATGTTCAGTGTGCCTCTACAGAGCCAGACCAGGGCTGCTTCACTGTGATATATACATGAATACAAACATCAGAGAGATTCCTTTCACTTCACACAGGTATCAGAATGTATTGGCTCACGATATCAGAAGAGAACTTTCTTGACGTTAAAGAAATAAGGAGGGAAAGAAATTGAGAGATAATACAATTTTAATTCACAAACTTACAAATTTAAGGATGTAAACGAATAGAAAAGACAGACGTTCCCCAACAGCCTCCTGCAGGTGCTCCTACACTGTTGAACTCAGTGTAGTTGTCACAGGTTAACTTTTCTTGGGCTGCAGCAGATGATTATTTGAAGTATCTGTCGATTTATTTTTCAGTGAATCCTTCTGTAAAATGTCCAGTGAGAAATCCAAGGTTTGGATGTCCGATCAACAGCTCAAAGCCCAAAGAGAAAAGCAACAAATCCTCATATTTGAGAAGCTGAAAATATTTGACATTTCAACTTTAAATGATTGATCCATTGGCATAATAGTTGCCAATTAAGTTTCTTTCCAACTGCTTATCAATTAATAGTCTAATTGTTGCAGTCATAACATTCAATAGCATCTGGTGTTGCCTGTTTCTCTGGTAGTTGCCCAACGGACATCACTTACTTGAGTAGCAGTTTGAGTGAAAGCAACAACCAACAAAAAAGTTTCCAGGGGTTCAACCCAGAGAAAGTTACAACTCAGGTGTTTGCTGTTCACTTAATAAAACCTCCTGGAAACAAGGACCATGGAGTGGCCCCAGGAACCAGTGAGAGAACCAGAACCGCTGAAAGAAACTGATTCATCTGTATTCATATGCCAAAGCAATAGGGTTGCAACAGTATTAGGGTTACTGTCTCAGAAAATATTGTGATAGTACAGAATTATTATTATCATCAGTTACAATGAACCCTTAAAGGAATGAAAACAGAAGGATTTTTTGGTAGCTAAAGTTGTGACTGTCAATTTTCATACTAAGGTAGGCCTATAACATGGTATCTTTATACGGCTGCAACCCATAGTCCCAAGATTAATAACTGGATACAAATCAAACAATATGGTCACGACTCAGTCTATATTAGACCTGTGACATAGGATTTTACTTTGTTTTAAAGGCACACAGGTCAAAAAGGTTGGGAACCAGCCCTCTAAACATTTCAGCTTGAACTTTACAACTGATTCAGAAAGACTGGGTGTTCTTTAATTGTCACTGCATGAAGCTACAGTATATCATAATCCTAATACCATATTTGAAGATATGAAAGATAGAGATGAAACAATACTTTCAAGTGTGGCACTAAAATCTTCCCAACACTGGCAGAATGATATTATGTATTAATAGAGATTGTCCATTCTAACTATTATTATTATTTAGTAAATTAACCAAATTTATTACAAATGAAGCCTTCTCAGGTGTCTTCCAAATCATTCTAGTTATTCACAATGATGATGATGATGATGCCAAATCCATGCCCATCGTGTAACCATTAACCCTCAGCTCTTGCCTACCTTTACCTCCCCCAGGTAAACAAATGTGTGTGTCACTGTTGATAATGAGCTGTTCAGACCATCATCATCATCATCATCATCAATCATCATCATCATCATCCTCATCATCACGCATCTCGTCCCAGAGTCAGTCGGAGCAAAAGAACAGCTGCTCTATAATTCAAATACTCAGACTTATGTAATTTCCTCTCTCTTAAGGTTAAGGCTGCAAATGTCAGAGCTTGCATTAATGTGAGGCAAAGTGCAGTTCTCTCACTCACAGGTCGATACATCAGTCCTGCAAGAGAAGGGGGAGCTGGGAGCAGGGGGGAGCTGGGAAACACTTCAGCCGTCCAAATGAAAGCTTAAACAAATCGACATGGGGATCAAACAGCAAAACTGTCACAGTCTTACCGTACCAAATTGCCCAGTAGCATGTTCCAAACAGTGAATCCACTTTTGGCATTCCCCCTAAGAAAAACCGAAAGCGCAGAAATTGTGTCCAACGTCCGGTAGAAGCTCCTCTGTGCGCCTCCGCAGATCGATGGAGCAGAGCGCAGGGGTCCAACTCTCTCCCTCTCTCTCCCTCTCTCTCTCTCTCTCTCTCTCTCTCTCTTTCTCTCTCTCTCTCTCTCTCCGGTTGTTTGCCTTTGCTTTGCCTCTGCCTCTCTCGGTCTTGGGCCAATAAGCATGAAGTAATGGTGACAGCTGCGCTCTGGTACAAGAGTGCGTCAGGTCGGGGTGACGCTCCGGAGTCCAACACAGCACTGAACGGATCACCCAGAGAGAGAGGGTGAGAGAGAGAGGGAGAGAGAGGCACTCAGAGGGAGCAGAGGGGTTGTATAATGTCCAATGTTCAGTCTGTCTTAAAGGAATATGGAGGCTTTTACTTGCCCTTTGGGAAACTTAGTGACAAGAGACCAAAGCCATCCATGTGTCCCTGGTTGGTGTGTGGGTTCATGCTGGAACTGTGGGCTGCATGGAGTGATAAGCTACTACTAATATGAACCTTAAAGACTGATCTCTGAGTATTAAAATGTTTGCAGGGATTTGTCTACGGAGGCAGTTTAAAGTCAAAATACAAAGTAGAACTTCCACACATGAATCTGCACACACACATATTTAATGCTGACCAAAGACGGCAGAACATTTCATAACAAAACTGTTTTGAATTTTTCCAGGAAAAGTTGCAGCATACTGTGAATCAAACTGCTGGCACACCACGTCCAGCTCGAAGAACTATAAGCTGACTGATCAAATGAGTTTCCTAACGTCTTACGGTAAAGTGGCAGCAACACAGCGACACAAGCTGACATTGCAGAAAGACAAAGAAAACAAAGTAACCCATTATTGCACCACTGAGAGTCTGCATGGATGTGTTGTTTGCTTCAGTCTCTGATTTGTGGTTGGAATTGTTGGTCTCAACCGCTCCAGCAATATATGTTTTTGGATATTGGTATAATTAAAAGGAACGGGCAGTGACATCGGTCAATCAGTGTCACTCACTGTCTCTGCCCCCACTCTGTCTCTCATTTGCACTCGGTCGAGTCTTGGACTCAAACCTCTTTGGACTCGGCCTCAACTAGTCCTGGTCTTGGACTTGTCTTGTAGTCAACAAAGGTGGTTAGATTACATAATTACATATTACAAATTACAATGACAACAAATCTTTGAACTTAATGCAAATAGTTTGTAGCACACCATAGTTAGCTTTTATGAAACCATCTTAATTCTACTGTAGTTTAAGATTTAGGTTGCATGGATTATAATCAAATACATTTTTAACAGATTCAATGTTTTGTTCATATGTTGTTGTCGAGTTGTCATATACACTTTGATGTACACATAATAAGAGTGTATGATAAGTACTATATCAAGTTAAATATATTATAATCATGCACTTTCAGATGTGCAGTTTCTCCACTTATCTGCTCTCCATGTTTACTATAGGCTAATCTACACAACAACAGCAGTCGGCTCAAGGCTATCACAACCAGTGTGTGTGCAAACCACGTAACTCGTCCTGTCCTGTGTGTCCCATCTTAGATAATGATAATGATCAGTGTTTGGGTTTGTATTCAGCAGGAACCCCAGAGCACAGATGGGACCACCTTCACCTTACAGCTGTGGAATGGAGGGAATTTATTCATTACTTTCTTTACTTTGAACTTACTATCAAATGTGTCACCTCACACCCCGGCCTTTATAACCTACTGAAGCACTGCAAGTGTGTTATGTATTTTTGCAATTTGGAAACAATTTGATTTGAATTTGACAATGAGGCTTGGGGTAGGCCTTATATCTGGCAAGAATCAGACAAAAGAAACGCACACTGTACTAATCACTCCCAGCAATTTCAACATTTCTTCTTACAGAGATTTTTCTCAGACCTGGTTGAAAGTAAAGCTGGACGTAACTTTACACCAACAATCATCATCTTTTCAATATGAAATCTGCAATGGATCTGGTCGTACAAGGCCTTAAGGTATCCTCATGTGGACGTCCAAACTTTGTTGTAAGCTGAGTAAACCAGTCAGGACAGACACTGCTGTGTTAACTGTGTGTTTACTGTGTGTTTACTATGGCCCACAATAGAGACAGGAAGTTAAGAGACAAAAACAGAAGAAGAAATGGTTAAGTTGCAAAAGGTAAGCAGGGCTCCAGATTACTCGATGCACCCCGTTACTTCTATGAGGTGATATAAAACCTGTAAGATACCTGAAGCCTGCGGTGAGCTAACAGTGAGCTGGGCTGTGAGAGAGACATGTGAACATCTCATTGTTTTCCTCTGTAAACAATGAGACAAAGGCCCCACGCTGTGAGGAGAGCTCTCCTGTTGAAAGTTGTCTCTGCACTCCTGCTCTGCAGCAGATAAGTGCCTCCGCCAGAGCTCTCTGCGAGACAGGTATCGGCCTTCGTTTTATGTTTGTCTGCTCTGTGATTTCGGGTGAATAGCACAGAAAGCCACAGCATTACGCTTCTTTTCACAGAGCTGCTATCAAAACACATCAGGGCTTTTGAAAGGCTCTGCTGTCACTGCCTGCACTCTGCCGGGAACATTTTGTTCGGGGGGGCAAATCTCTCAGCTTTGAAAGAGATCTGTACATCCACCGCCTCCAGGGAAACATCCTCATCTTACAAAGACCACACACACACATTCACGTATGCATGGGCACTCACACATACAGAGGAAGGGCTGCATGCAGAGTGCACACACACAAAGATACTCACACACATGAACACAAAATACAAAACATTTTGAGAGATCTGAAACGATGAAGCGTCGCTCACAGTTGTCCCTGAGGCCTGCTGAGCTCTGTGTGCTTGTGTTTGTGTGTCTTGATAGAGTAGGACGAACAGTGAACACACAGACACACACTCTGCCCCTGGCACAGATTACCTTCTATAAGCCACAAAACAATGTGATTGGCCGGTTTGTCCCCCAGCACCTGAGGCCACGCTTAGTTGACTGATCCTGGCAGGAAGTCAGCTGCAGCTAGAGTTTCAGTGCACCTGGTCTCCGCATCCATGTGGGTCAAACTGTCAGCAGGATGCGGACAGGTACGGTCCAGCGGGCATTCAACCACATCCACAAGCTTTAACAAAAAGGTCTGAACATCTGTCACATCTGTCTGAGTTTTATTTCAGCGTCAGCTCAAGTGTTTTTTCTCTTCATTGTATTTCTGTTCATCATTTTATAATGATTTGTAAAAATGTTATAAAGGTGTTGAAACTGGTATCTTGTGTATATACTGTATCATACAGTATGACGGAGTACCACAGAGTCCATCTCACTTTTCCTTTCATCAGCTTTTAAAACGTTTCCTTTGATTTTAGTATTATAAGTAGACATGGTGGGATCAGGTCCCTCTCACTTCCATCAATACACAAAGCGTTTAATGTCAGCTTTGGAGAAGTGCTTTTAATCATGGAGCTTTTGATGTTTTCTGATACCATCCTGGATCAAAGACATTGCAAAGATTGAAGCTTCAGTGCCTGAGGACAAGCTTACGCAGACATTAAGCTTCTCTCCTCTGCCTGGGGAAGGCCTCACTCCCCTCCAGACCAGACTGACATCACAGCAGCTCAGGTCTTTGGCCGAGTGAAAGTCGGGAAAATTAGACTTTAGAAGTCTTGTAGCAACCATCCGATTGGCTCTTCCCTAGTGTAGTTTTATTGGTTTGAAGTATAACCTTTGCCCAATGTGTCTGCATGTTTTTTACCAAATTCTGCAATAGTACTTAGGTTGTGTTTTGCACACAAACAAATCTGAACAAACACTGATTTATTGAGTTGAATGTGGCGACTCATTAGTGTCATTGCCGAAATCACCAACGGTTTATTTCATTCCCTAGAAAGTGAAAGTCCCACTGTCAGCTCATCATACAGTCTGTTACTTCCTGGTTAAACACTGAAAGATGGCAAAAAGCAGAAACAGCCATGGTGCAATAACAGATTGGGGGATGCTGAGCTATTAACTTTAGGAACAGTGCTTACATTTGCACAGTTTTATACTGAAAACAGAATGAACTTACTTAGAATCTGTGACTAACGTTGAAGACAGTCAGAAAAAAAGTAATATTATGGTGTTTTTATAATGCTAATGTAACACCACAATCTCTGACCAAATGATGTTTTTGTATTTATACTGCGACCACTCAATGCACTTTAAAACACTTCACGTTCCATTCACACGCTGCTGATAACAATCTGATACTGTGCTCACCCCTAAACTCACACATCGAGAGCGCGGCCATCAAGAGCAGTTTAGGGTTCAGGATCTTGACCAAGGACACTTTGACTAGACTGGGGGAGCCAAGAATTGAACCAGCAACCCTCTGATAACCAGATGAGCCACTCTACCACCTCTTTGGCCCCATAAAATCTACCAAGACTGATGAGGCCCAGATGGATGGATCCTACAATCTCATGATCATAAGAAACACATCCTGTGATAGATAACATACAGCAAGCTAAAGCCCCTCAGGAAGGTCGACCAATCATTGTAGTTTACTGTCGTTTATGCATCTCAATTTTTCGAAAAGCTGCTGTCAAATCAGGTTTTGTAACATTGAGGAGGATCTGTTGGCAGAAATGGAAGATAATATTCATAGCTACTCTGTCATTGGTGTATAATCACCTGTGTTTTGTTATCTCAGAATGAACCACTTTTATCTACAGAGGGAGCGGGTCCTCTTCTAGGCCACCATGCTGAGAAGGCCATTGTGAGTTTCACAGCAATTGCAGCACTATATGCCACTAAAAACACACCACTGACATTGTATCTCCTTATAAAGTTGTTTTGGTTAACATGTTAACAAGCATTTCCCTTTTTACAAATACAGTAGACACAGAGCAACCATCATGTTTCTGATGAATGAATGTTATTATTCACTCTTCTTTTAGCTCCTTGCATACGTTGCTTCACCAGTAGACTGTTTCCATCAGAATCTCTGATAAATGTATGATTCTGCAGTGAGATGTGCCTTTAATGACACTGATTGTTGGACTGGATATACACTCCTGCAGAGAGTTTGAAGTTCAGAGTAGGATAGCACTCAAATACATTAACTCTGCTGACATTTGTGCATCGTAATTCAGGAACAGTAATGTACTTTGGACAAAGTTAATATTTGCCTCACTATGCTCAAACACACACCCACACTCATACACACACAATGACTCACATACACACACACACACACACACACACACACACACACACACATACACACGAACAAACTGTTCCAATGTTCATGTCTCAATTAACATAAATGTCCCATAGCACCCACACAGTGCAGCATTTGTGCACATAATGAGCACTTCCAGAAGGTTTGGTTTTCAATATGAGATCATTTGTCATCATTCTTTTTGTGTTTTTGGCACAATTTGACACTTTTGGGTGACACACTTTGGATACATGGGCAATTGTATTATTTTGATTATTACATATATTCATAATCTCTTCTTTTATTTTTTTCCCCTATATATTTTATAACTAGTCTTTTAGTACAGCCTCAACAGTAAGCCACCCTACATTTCACTGCACATGTTGAATGAGCATGTGACGGAAAAAAACAAAAGAATCTTTAAATCTTGGATGTTCAAACTTTCAAACGTTTGCAGATTTCTTTCCAGTTTCCCAAAGAACATTTACTACAGGCAGATATTTGACCTTATTTTTTAGAAACCAGAGAGAAAGGTGGATCAGGAAAGGTAAGGCAGCTTTATTTATAAAGCACATTTCAAACCCAGTGTTTTACCTAGGCAAAGAAAAGCAGAGCTTGGGAATCTTTACAGCTCTGGAATCAAGCTGAGCAGTAATTTTCATTCTTTCCTCCTTTTTCCCAAATACAATGATTCCTGTCAGCTCACTGGTCACTTGGTGAGAGAGCTGAGTAAAACTAAAGACATCCCTCATGTTTTAAACTGTCTTCAAGCAGGGGCTGAGGTGGCTCTCCTTCAAGGATTCTGGCATGTTGTGTTAAGTCTTGCTCTTATCTTGATTCCTCTTGTCTCTTGTGTTTAGCAGAGGGAACAGATGGGTGACACAGGAAGTAAAATAGGTTGCAGATTAAAAGTTTTAGAGAGGGTAGGCTACATTTAGGTGACCTTGACATTAACATATGTCCCTGTGAAGCAGTATCTCATGGCGTCCAATTGAATCTATAAACCCAACAAGATTTAAGAACTTGTTAGATAAACCCTTTATTGCTAATTATATTTCTGTATGTCCAGTTTACATGTGTTAGGGTGACCTCAAAGTCTCAAAGTACAGTTGTTTTGTTCTGTCTGTTCAGAAAATGTACATATATATGTATATTTTTACTTTTCTTGGGTACAAACAAGCTGTTTAACTGCCTTAACACCAGCGCTCCCTGTTGGTAACCACAGGTATAATTAAACTTTACAAATGGCAAAAATACAGTACAATTATATATAACCAGTGATATTATTTATTTACTATTAATTATTATTAATTTTATTCTCATTCCAGCAATTACTTTTCTTTTTGATGTCTGTTACAGATATTGGGATATAAATATTTTACTGGGTGGTATCTTCAGATGTTAATCACGCATTTTCTTCAGGAAATGAAAATATTCTAGTTTTTCTTATGACTTTGTTTTATTAGAATTCTCATACCCTCTTTTCCTTCTATATATAGTTTCAATTTTGAATGTGTCACAAGCTTTCCTCCAGCAGAGGGCAGCATTATCTCTGTTACAGTAAAAAGGAGGCAAGAGATGGAGATGACAGGAAAAATGCAGAGAACCAGTCACACAATGACTTAGGGTTAGAGTAGTGCTGGAGAGCTGAAAGAGTACACAAATGTTATAATACTGTATACTGCAATTACATACTGAACATATACTAAAATGTGTCTTATTATTATTATTATTATTAAGATATCAAGATCATAATTTTGTTTGTGCATTTGGTAGTGTAATGATCAGATTTTAGGTTTTCATATGTGTTGCTATATACAATCCTCCGTATGTGAGAAATTGACCACTGGAAACCTCCATGTGTATTAAATACACACTGAATCAATGCTGAAATACAGACATCATGTTAATGGTTGCGTATAACACACTGTATATTGACTGTTCTCAGCCCTGCAGCGTGTGAGCTTATCGATCCGTGAAATCAATCAGACACAGCAGCATTAGATCATCAAGCTGTTGAGTGTATGAGGACACTGTTACATCATCAGTGATTGAAATGCTAAAGCAAATCCTCAGCACACTTCAACTGCAAGCAGTTTTTCAGTTATCAAACTGACCTCAAAATGTACTGTACAATTATGAAATTGTCTTCATGAAGGAGCAGCTCCACTGGTGCAACTGCAGGTTTAGCCTGCCTTGCTCAAGGGCATTTACACTGAGGGTGCAATGAGGAAGGGGAGAGTTTAGTTACTGACTGCTACATAGCTGACCCTTAATGCCACTATTGTCCTCAGTCATCCCTGTAATTCTGCTGTTAAATTAGAAAAACCTATCCTAACACAAATGTATCATGCCCACTGTCTCAGGGCAATGATGGAAAACGTGTTTATTATAAACCTCATTCTGAATTTAGCTTTCAAGTAGAAGATTCCTATATTCAGGTGACCTTTAAGCCATAAACACAGGAGAGAAAACTAACTAAACTAGATCAGATGATGAAAATGGATCACTAGATTATTATTTTTTTGCTTTTCAGGGCTTCTGTAGTTATCTCAGCCGGACTTCACTTGAGGTCAACTGCTATAAAGCCGTACAGTTTACAACTGCTGCTCTTGATTGAAGCAAACAAATAAATCAAGTGACGCAGACATTTTATCATCTCCAGAGCTCTGGGGTCACTGTGTCAAAGGTTAAGATACCACAGAATTAGTTTTTGGTTGACAGTGCAGTCAGTTAGATAGATCAGGACCACTCATGTAAAAAAGACCTCTAATAGACGAGTACAGACATAAGTTTTAGGTTTGGTCCCAAAAAATAAGGATTTTTAGCTGTGGCTGTCGGTTGGTAACTGTCGTGTACTAACAACATTAAACTGTTCAGGTTCTGTAAACTGGTTCCTATAAACCCTCCACATACCCCTCAAGGACCCTTGTTGCTTGGATGCTGATTAAAATGTGAATGCAAAAGGTTTTTTTCTGTCCATACAATAATTACCAAAAAAACCCCAGAAAATGCCAGTATGATAAAATTGACACATCGACCTTTAGAAATACTTCCAGAGCTTCAAGGAATTTTAGTAATTGAGATCACAATTCAGTGGAAATTATTGATTCATACAGACAGAAAGCAGAAAAATTAGGAAGACAACTTGACACTGACCATTGTTTCTTAGAGTGATAACAGTATAACAGTCATGGAGGCTGAATCGATCTCTTTCTGTCAGCTAGAGAATCACATGGCACAACTACAAACCAATGTCAGGCAACTCCTTAAAAAAAAACATATTTTGAGCTAAATGCTAATGCTAACATGCTCACAGTGACTATGCTGCTGTCAGAGATCATGTTCATAATTGGGACGACATCCTATTCATCAGCATTATCAAGCAAAAGTATGAGTACGTGTAACCGTAAACACAAATAAATGCCGATGTCTTGTTGTTATCTTCGGAAGCCATGTTGGCTGTGTGACTCATGATCAGGACCTGAAACAGCAACACTGATTGATCAGCTCTGATCTAAAGAGTCAGGAATGTTCCTCCTGCAGACAGAGCAGAATGTGGGTTTATCAGAAGCCTGTTTACTCTGTCTGCAACATGTTGTTGTTGTTGATGTTGATGGCGACGGCTGCTGCTTATATCATCATTGTTGTCGTTCTCAGCCACGTTGTCCAAATGACTCAGCTGACAGGTTCTGACAGGTTTCTTCTGAGAAGGCAATTTATATCTTAATTTTCTGCATTAAAACTATATCTCTTTGAATATATCCACATCCATTCAAGCATGGGCAAACAGATCAGGGGTTGCATTTACAGACAATTCTCTTTTCTCATTTGAAAATAATTGTTTGTGACTGCGGGATATGGATTATACTGATCACATAATATTTGAGTCTTTCAAAACGAGATACTGTCTGCACTAGCGTCTCTGCACTGTATCAACTGATGGAAATCTCTGCTGCTTTTGCCCTTGTCCTGATTCTCCTCCGTCCATCAGAGCAGAAAAGTTCTTTGTGTTTCCTTTTCCTCTCCAGCTGCAGCCTCCTACAGTCTGCATGGCAACCAGGCTGAAGCTCAGGCACATTCAGAACCAACGACCAACCTTAAGACTGTTGTTTGCTGCAGAGCTGCCAAACTCTCTTTGTATTACAGCTTTTTCCAAAGTTGCCCAATGGAAGACTTTTATGGACAAATCCACTCTTATCAGTGGGGATCACAAACTGTAGCCTGCAGAGACTGACGGTGATGCAAAAGGTTGAACACAGATATTATTGATATTATTCAGCCTCCTCAGGAACAGACAGTTCTGGTTCAGACATCAGAATTAGAACTCCTCAAACATATGGCTCGCTGCCTGGCCAAACAGTTGAATAAGAAGAAGTGATTTTGCAAGTTAGTGTGTGGAGTCAAACCAGCTACCTGGAAGACTGCATGTCCCTCAGGGCTAAAGGAGAAATCAGATCTCCACCTCAAACCCCTCAGATTCACACAGACCTCATTTTTATTCTTTATTATGTTCCATTTTGTGCAGGTTTTACAAGATACATTATACATTATTTTATCATAGGTCCCTTTTTTTGCTCCTGAAGGGTTTCCTCCAACTGTACTTTAAATTTCATTTTAAAGATGAAAATCATTTTTGAATGTTATTTTTCTGCAATGCAATGAATTTTAGAAGCCCTCAATTTCCTAAAGCTTTTTGTAATTTCGTAAAATGTTTGTTTTCTACTGCGCAGTAAAGATTTTTGTGTGGTGCAAGAAATATCACTGTTATAAAGCTCAACGTTTAATCACATATTATAAAAGATTCTTTCTATAACATAAAAAAGATTTCACATGCAGCATTTTCATTGTCAACCATGGAAGCAAAAGTGGCTCAGTCTTATTTCATGTCTTTTAGAAGGATTTCCTTGACTGACGTACTCAGGACCGGAGCTTTGAGACATTGTTTTTAATTTCATTTTGAGAAGTAATCATTGTTAATATTACCTTTCTGTTACAGAGAGGAAAAATTCCATTTGAAAGTGTCTCCTCCTCCCTCCTGCTGAGGGTCAGTTTGTTTGTTTAAGGGTTTAATATTTAGCTCACACACACACTCTTTTTTTCTAACCGGATGACTACCCTTGCTTTCAGATCTGTAAACACACACTAACTCACCAGCTGATTGAGAAAACTTTGGTAGCTCTGGTTAGGCTTCTGCAGAGGCTCTTTTACTGACCTGTTACAGACTGATGCTCTGTCTGTCTGAGTGTCCGTCCATGTGTCCTTCCTCTCTGTGTATGTGAGCACTTAAAGGTCTTCCTCCTGTGGATTCATCCTCAGCAGCTTTCTACTCTGAGCGATTGGATAAACGACTGAGGAGAGATGGGACCTCGTACAGCCGGTAAGAACTGCTTCAGTGTATTTCCTGAACACTGGAAATATTCCATTGCAGGCTCTCCAGATTATCACCACAAACAAATACTGGAGTAAAGAGGTCAGGGGTCAGAGCCAAATATTCACATAGCATGTGATTTAAAAATCTCCGGCTGCTCGATGCTAAAAGTCCATTTTTGCTATTTGCGTTTGCATTTTGCTTTTTAACTTTTAAACTCTTTTATAAACCTGTCTTTGAGCTGTCACTAGTTACATACTGTAGTTTTTAGCTGAGACTCTTTGGTGGTAAATTATAGCTCCGGTTTTCCATTTCTTGTAATTGGTTATGATAACATGTCCTTCTTTTCAGCCACAGATCTGAAATATCCTGCCATCAGAAATAAAAATATAATTATTACTTATTTTCAAGCTTTCAATACTGAGGCAAAACTCTGGCTTGTTATTACATAACTTAGAATACCACTGTAATTATAAATACATTTTAATAGTTCATTTAGAGCATATCTGTGCACACTGAGACACATGGGTTTATAGAGCATATATACATCCTCTTCCTTTTGTTGTTTTTAATGATCATTGTAGTCGTTGTTGTCATAGTTACTGTTTGTAGTGGATGTTTGTGTATGTCTGTCTAATTGTTAGTCTTTAATACAGGTATTAGAGTGTTGTAGTTTGTGTTTTACTCTTTAAAAGCCAAACCAGGGACAAAGACTGCCAATTAGCTACAGCTACAGTTCCTATATACACAACTTGTATTGTCCTATAATAGACAGGAAACATCGGGGGAACAAAGGGGACGACATGCAACAAACATCCTCATCCAGAATCTAACTGGGAGAAATCTTGGACGACGCCATTTTTAATGACCTAATCTCTGATAAAGAGGCATGTGCTCAGTTAATTTTTATTTTAGGTAATGAAGTAAAAATCAAACACTGGTCCTCTTTAAAATCACTTTAAAGAAGCCCAAAAAAATCAGCTTTTAAAGGATTCATTTCTAATATTGTTTTAACTGACTTTAGTATTATCTCCTTGTGATGATGATGATGATGATGATGATGATGATGATGATGAAGCACCCAGGCAGTAGGAACGTGTGAATGTGGATGAATGTCATCAGTTATATGCTGTTGTAGCAACAATCAGACTTTCTTTAGTGAAACATTATATAAAACATACAGTCTATATTTTTTACATTTCAGAGCGTTTACAGTGACCATGTTTATGCAGGTACCATGGCTAAAGAGGAACAAGTGAATGAATTATTATCCTGAACAGGAAGTGTTATTGTTGTGATGATACAAAGGCTGACATGTTTCAACAAACAGTAAACAAATGAACTATCATTTTATTGTAATTTTATTATCTCGGTGTATGAGGTCATCTTCTCTGAGTCATGGAGTCATCCTAGCATCAGATGGCCCAATTAAAAATCTGTGGGTGAGGAAAAAAGATTCATAACATGCTTTTTACAAAATGATTCTCCAATAAGCATTAATTAAAAAAAGTAAATCTTATGCCACGTAAGCAAATGAGACACAGACTAAGCTGTTAATCAAAAATGTGGCAGCTTTATAATGATTTTCTGCCCAAAATCAACAAAGTATCAAACACCCTGCAGACTTGGTGACAAGGTGAATGGGCCCAAAGCCTGAGGCTGTGATGGAGGTCCAGGTTTACATCCACTTCCTCTGCACTTAATTGGTAAAAGTGAGAGAGAGAGATAGGAAATGTGGGGGAAAGAAAGCAGGTAGATTTAAATAAGAGACACTGAGGTTATATAATGCTCTTGTGTTAGTCCGTTAATCCGCGTAACCAGAATGTAACGTAGTATTTTATTTCTTTTATTAAACTGGACAGCCAGCCATTTGGCAGATCTGTTCAGCGTGAACAAAAAACAACGTTTGTGCTACACTTGCTGATGTGTTGGAGTAACATATCGAATTGGAGGTATTGCTTCCGTCTTGCATCTTACTGCAGATATCAGCTCAAACTCAAAAAGGGCACAAGTGAATAAGGTTAGGGTTAGACAAGTAGTGGTTTGGGGTAAGTCTCCAGAAAATGAATGTACAAACCAAAAAAAACAAAGTTGTCAAAGCAAACAACCAAAAAGACAAAAACACAATACATAATCTAATAAGAATAAGAAAAAGAATGATGTAATAAACAAATATAACAAATTTCATACAGCCTCACAATCTCAGAACAAAAGAATATATACAAAGAAAGCAACAAAACACATGAAAGCACAAAAACAGAGTAAAGCGTTTCTTTCTGAACGATGGTCAAACAGAGAACTTCTTCACTTGGGCCATGTATCTCCCCATCTCAAAGCCCCCTCAGCCAACACTGTGACCTCTGTGTGTCTTTCTTATCTGTGCTTTTTAAGGAAGCATCGGCTGTTTGAACAGAAACAGAATTGTTGGGAGCTGAATTGAGGAAGTTAAACACAAAACTGGGTCAGTTCTGATTCTGATTATCGTCACGGAGCTCTCCACCTGATCCCTTCCTCTCTCTCCATCAGTGGCTCCTTCTAAGGAGGTGAAGGCGGTTACAGGCAGAAGATGCGGAGGTCAGGGAGGAGCCCGGCTGAGGAGCAGCAGTGACGGCAGCAGATACAGCAGGAGAGGAGTCGGCCTAGCCAACAACTCCTCCTCCTCCTCCTCTTCCTCCTCCTCCTCTCCATTGCTCTCCAACCCCAAATCAGGTAAAAAATTAACAAAAACTGTACAAGCCTTTGAGTCTTCAATGGTTTTTAGGTTTAAGACAGTTGAGGTGACAATGTTTAAAGTGGCCAATGAGCAATAATAAAAGATATTTTATGTGTTGTTGTTGCTTTGTGATTTTCTATTGATGAAAAGAAGATGACTCAGTTAATATATTTACTTAGAAATTCTGACTTTTGTTTGATGTTTAGTCTTGAAGAGACCAGTGAGCACCGATGAGCTGCAGAGACCAGGAGGACCCTACATCAAGAAAACATTTACAGTATGTTTCATCTCTTATTTAGTATTCAGATCCTTTACTTAAGTAAAAGTACTAATACAGCACTGTGAAAATACTGCACTCAAATTGTACTAGTAAGTATCTAAGTGTCAAGAGTAAAAGTATTGATTCTGCAGTAAAATGGTCCCTGTCAGTTTTTACTATTATATGTGATGTTTGTGGAATAATAGTCCTGCATTAATGTGTATGATTAGCAAGGCATCATATTGTAAAAGATCAAATGTGTGCAGCATGGCCATCCTGTGGGAACCACATATCTCTAAAAAGTTAACTTTTCAAGAGCTCAGAACAGCAGGCTTGTTCTTGACGATGCATTTTCCAGCTTTTCCAGCTTATTTATTATAAGAAGTAGGAGAATTTTCTTAACCCATAAAGGAAAACTGAATACTTTAGTTAATCACAAACATTCAAAATCAGCACACCTGGAGATAAAATATACAATATTTTATAACTAATGTAGTGGAGGACTGAAAGTGCCTTCAATTTGTACTTGAGTAAATGTACTGAGTTACATTCCACTGCTCTGTAGCAAGTCTGATAACTTTTTCTTTTACAAAAGTGTTCACTATCACTCTCTTTTGTTTGTATTATGCCAACTATTGCACTAACTACTAACTATGTTCTTGCTGGAGTCAGTACAATAGGTTTCTTTGGGACTTTTCTCCTGACTTGTTTGCTGCAGATGAATGTCTGACTGAGCTCTCTGTGTGTTCCCAGATTGTAGGCGATGCAGTGGGTTGGGGGTTTGTGGTGAGAGGGAACAGACCGTGTCACATCCAGGCTGTGGAGCCCTGCGGCCCAGCTGATGCTGCTGGGATGAAGGTAGGCATCGTGGAAAATGTAGTGAAAATGGTTATTCCTTTAAAGTATATAGTAGATTTTATTACTTACTTTACAGCACTTACTAGCTGAGCTAAGCACAAATCCATTGACACTGTTCAAATTAGTCAAAGTATGAGGCATTAATGGGTTAAAAGAAGTTAAATTATTTATAGTGGGCCTGGCTTTTGTTGGGGTTCTCTCACATTAATGTCAATTGTTTGTGTCCTGTGACATCTAGTGGCCAGTAGGGAAACTGCAGATTTTTAATGATTTATTTATTCCGCAGATTGTTATAAATTGAGAGCATAACGTGCAGTGAAACTCAGTGGACCTCACACATTAACTATCTGCTGTAGAAGTGAATCCCTCCCAGTGCCACCTTAGAGGTGAAACAGTGAATTTGTCTTTGACTCCCGCATTACTTTTCTTCTCACTTCTCTTAGTGCTTCCCTCTCCTCTTTATCCACAGGTTTGTCAGTTTGTGGTTTCGGTCAACGGGCTCAACGTACTCAATCTGGACTACCGCACTGTCAGCCACCTGATCCTAACAGGACCCAGAACTGTGGTGATGGAGGTGATGGAGGAGACCGACCACTGAGCAATGAGAGAAACGCTGACTAATATGTGTGTCCTGTCGGAGGTTTTCTTCAAAGGACTGCAAGAACACAATAATTAAACAGGAAATGACCTTGTTAGGAATTACATGGGAAACATTCTGTTTTAGATTATTGTCAAGCTGATGGAGAGCATTTGTTTTCAGACTGGCTGGCTGAAGAAATAACTTTAAGATCAGAACTTGTGTCGAATGGCAGCCACATCTTCTGAATAAGAAGCTTGTTAAGTTTTAAATAACGTAAAGGCGCCCACAAAGAAGCCAGCAGTCTTTGTAGTCGCTCATGACTCTCAGAAAAAGAATTCTTGGAGGAGAATCTGTCAACACAGTGTCGTCAAACAATGATATTATAAGAGTTAATTCGTTGCAAGTAGCTTGAAGCTGTTTTCTCAACACAGCGTGGCCCTTTGGGTCTCAAACTCACAGTGCTAGTTTGGGAGTGGTGCACTGCTTGAAACAAGCAGCCAGCTTATTGTTGGAGCCAAGCTAAACACTGAACCAAATATCCAAACATGATGGCTAATCTGTTTGAAGCTGCTAAGTCACTGCATGAAAAAGCTTTCCAATTTCATGCCCCTTGACTCATCAGAATTATTACATCTCTGTGGTTGAATCAGAGTCACAAAGGGAAATGAAAACAAAATATTGTGTGAAAGGACTCTTGGTGGGTTATAAAATATATTGTATCTTAAGTCAAAGGTATTTTTTTCATGTGTCAGGAAATATTCCTTAGTTTCACAGACATTTTTTAAAGGACCAGTGTGTAGGATCTAGTGGTATCTGGTTGCATATTGTAACCAGCTGAATACCACTCGGCTCCCTCGTGTGTAGAAGAACGAAGGGCCCTATCTAGAGTCAGTGTTTGGTTTGTCCGTACTGCTCTCCCCACCGACCAGTCGTCTGGGGATTCCTGAATGCAAAGTAGCTTCTTGAACAGCAGCGAGAACAAACATAGCTTACCTGAAACAATGCTCTCCCCCCATTCTCCTCCGCAGTGAAACAAACTGGAGATGAAGTGAATCATTTTTCCACATGTCATCGCCCTAAAGACTTTGGATTAGTTCTGCTATAAAGGGGTTTTTTTTTTTTTTATGTTTCCAACCAGTTTCAGCAACATAACTAGAATAAAGTCCTTCATCTCTATTGAGCGAAGCCTTTAGAGACTGCTTGTGAGTCTAACTGGTCACAAAAAGGTGATTATACACAAATAAAAACCTACTGATGAATATTATATTCCATTTCTGCCAGTAGATCATCACACTGGACCTTTAAGAAAACTAAATGTATTACGAAAAGGGGCATCGTGTGACTTACAGCTCTGACTATAGGCCAACATTTCCCCATGGCCTCCACTGTTCCTGGGGACTTGGTGTTTCTCTGTTGGCTACTAGGTGCTGCCACCTTGCTTGACTCACTTGAGCTCCACCCAGACAGCAAATCTGCCCAAATCTGTATTTTTTGGCTCAGACTGTGGATGGATCTGTTAAGAAGGTTTGAGTAGCAGTAGGAGGCACTGTGTCATTATAACAACCCAGTTCTTTAATTTATTCCAAACTAGCTTTGTTGTAAATTCTTTGCTTTTTAGTTTGAAAGAATTTAAAATAAAGATTTCCCTGGCACACACCAAATGTTTCTGACGGAAAAGAGAGAAGCTTTCATGACCTGGACGGCCTCCTTATTGTAAATGATCATAGACAGGAGCAAATGTACATATATTTATAAAAAAAAGTGCTTATTTTATGCATTGTGACCCTGGAAGTAATCGTGCTGTTGACATCGCTCCAACAGTTGGTGTTTCCTTCATTGGGGTGGTTTGGACTTTTAACCCCACGTGCCACCTCACTGCCTCCTCCACACACAAACACATTACCTGCATGTGTCACGGCAGCATTTACGCACTCCTGCATACACACACACACACACACACACACACACACACACACACACACACACACCTGGAAACACTGCACGCTGTGTTTGCTTTTCCATCCACTCCTTGCGACGTCTGATTCCCAGAAAGGAAGTGAGGAGTGTGAAGATCGTGTGAGGTAGATCAACAACTTTGAGAGGACGCAGACTTTAACTGAAGTGCTTTGTTTTGAAGTCTCTCCTCAGTTTCTCTTATTGTTTTATCTTTTTATACCTTCTGTGCCGTATCAGTTTTTACTTTGTGTTTGTGGGATTCTTCTCCGTTCATGTGTACAGTCGACTCTAGAGTTGTTAACGGTGAAATGTCTCTCCGCAGACAGCGTTTTGCTCTCTGCAGGGTGATTCTGCAGTGTGTCTTGTGGCTCCTCTTGTGTCTGTAATGGTGGTTTTCATGGAGGCCATTAGTGGAATTATGTTGGATATTGTTTTAAAATACCAGATACTTTATTAAGAAACTAAATATCATTATTAAAAATAGGTCTCACTTGTACAATACAGAATTACAAGCAGAGAATAAGCCTCTAAAAGCTTATCAAATAATATAAACAATACCAATAAATAAACCTTTTTTATTATGATTTTAATTGCTTGTTTTACATCATCTTCTTCTGTATTTTATTTCTTCACGTTTGAATTTGATTGATGTTGATTATTACACTGCATTTCTCTAGTGAATTACAAATAAAATATAAACAAAGGCTTGATTGATTGATTGATTGATTGATTGATTGATTGACTGACAGAGAGTCTCTTTAAATCCAGGAAATCCTCCAATGATCAACAGTTCTTACTCAGTTTGTAAAAAAATTGTCAGAGTCGAGAGGTGTGTGAGGTTACAGTACATTGTCGGTGGATTGGAGGTCAGAGCTGCTTCACAATCAGGTTTTGCAACACCTGAATGTGATGAGAACAGTTGACCGGCAGGGCAGTTAGCAGTGTTACCAGGTGGTGGCAGCACATGAGTGTGTGTAATAACACAGCACTGCCCCTGCTGCTTGCAGTGTGCATCATGCTTATCTCTGCTGTGTTTAGTTTATTGTTTATCAGGTATCAGTGGGATCAGTGCAGTGCAGTGCAGTGCTGTCCTGGACAGACAGTCTAGACTGCTTTTTTATTTAAAGGCCTTATGTGTACAAAATATTGTTTGATATTTAATAGAATCTGTTAAATCATTCTGATGGATTAGGTTTTAGTTTGCAGAAAAATGAGGCAATCCTGGTGAAACTTGGTGCAGTCTACTGTATGTGTTGCTTTAAGCTCTTCATTTTTGCTGCTCCAGGGTCAGATCACACATGCAGGCTTTCAACCAGCATTAACTCATTTTTGGCCACTTGGGTGCACAGGAAACAGACTGTAAACAACATATTGACAAACTGTAGCCCTTTAAGTTGTTGAGAGCGATGAGAGAAAACCATAGAACAATCAGCATTGAGCTGAAACAGGCTGAAACGCTCCACAGAGCTGAGAGGAACTGCATCAGGTGATATCTGTGGGTTTATCACTGTGAGCAACATCATTCACGCACCTGTAGTCATTTGATCCATTGTTGGTATTAAATTATTGATTATAGCAGCTTGTCTGCCAAATGTTAACTAATAGAAAGCTGTTGCCACAGTTACACACTACACTCAGATGTAAGGAGGGAAATGACAGCAGAAAGAAGTTTTCATCTGTAGATGTTTGTTTTGTGAAATCAGGACATACAGATATCAGTTGATATAATTTGTTTCCTTGGCCAAACATAATGTTATGTTGTGAAATCTTTGGGTCAGAGTTGCAGCTGTTGAACTTGGCTTTCTCCTGCAATGTTCAGTCCCTGAAAGACAGAAAGAAAAAAAACCCTCAGTAATTGCTGACATTCTCTCTTGTCAACATGAGGAATCCTCCTATAATTGATGGTTATTAGCCAGTTCATAAAAGAGGTCAAAGTTCACATAGTGGAGAGGTCATTCGCGAGGATCAAGAAGATAAACTGGAGCTGAGGGGTGAGTAGGTGGACTGGAGGAAAGTACAGTGTGTGCTCATGAGCTCCTCAGCAGTACTAGCTGGGTGTTGGGTTCACGGCTCTCACTGTCAGCGCTCAGTCATGATCACGTCCTCTCCTCTTGTCTCAGTAAAGTAGGACAGGACGACATTCCTGAAGATTCCAGAGGATTTTATAGAATTCCAGGTGAGTGGATTTTGACACTGAGCTTGTAGAGACACATTCAACAAAAACAGAAAAGTAGACCAACTGTGGAAAGGCTCAACATTACGCTTTGAGGATTGGCTTGCTATGTTGCAGATCTCCCAGCACTATTATGGGCCATAACAGAGGCTGACTTTAGCATTAGTTGTATAAAAGAATGTCTATATTTAGGTCTTTGTAGAAACCAAACAATAATAGAAAGCAACCAGAGAAGACTGTTGTTTTAGTAAATATCACAATGGACCAAATGGAAACCATTTCAAACCATCACAGGCTTCAGTGGAATCCATTAGATACCATCAGAAACCTTTACAGAAGCTATTATACACCACCACCAACCAGTAGAAACGTTAGAGAATGTGAAAGAAACAATATCCCACATCAATGGAAATCATTACAAACCATTACAAACTATTACAAACCATAAAATCTAACAACAGCAGCCATAATAAACCATCAGACACCTTTATAGACTGCAGTAGAAACCTATGCACATGCCACCATAAACCATTAAAAACATAAAGGAATGTAAGAGACACCACTAGAAACCAGTACACACAGCAATGGTAATCCATAGAAACCATTACAACCATAACATAAACAACAATAGAAGCCATAAGATCACACTACATGAGACACCATTATAGACTGCAGTAGAAACTTTTACAGGCTGTCATATAAGCATAAAATGCCACCAGTACAGGTACATCACAGATTTCGGGGATATTGGAAGGCACCATCACTCACATTGATGGAAACCATTGGAAAACCGATTAGAAACAGCTTGAATGCAGCTTGAAGTGGAAACCACTTCAGGCTTTTGCTGACCAGTAGAGACAAATACAGCTCATAATAAGATTTGGTCACTCACCACAAACCATTATTCGATGAGTCTAATAGGTTATGATAATTTATAATGTTTTTAATCTAATGGAAACTATGAGGATTCTTCTAGTGGTTTCGGGGCTTTGATCTATTATTGATGTAACTTATTAAATTCACGGTCATAATGAAGGGAAAATGCAAATGACTGGATGGGGGAAGGTCAAAGGAGGGTTTTTAAGCCATGACACAGCTGAGACATGGATCATCATGCAAATCAGGTGCAAAGATGATTCTTTAGCTAAATGTATTTGACTTGTGGCTCCTTTCTTCAGTGATCAGGGTGGATAGCGAGCTGGTCAGAAAGGACCAGTATGCTGCCAGCTTATGTTTCCCAGAAAACAAAATTAACATACAATTGCAAGACATACAATGCTGACATGACATTCTGTTAGCTAACACACCGCTCTACTGAGGTGGTGATGACTGGTGATGACGGAGATGAAATGGTGCATGGCAGTTGCAGCTGCCAAATTACGTTTCGAAAAAGGATTTTGGTCGCTATAACACCAACTTGCTGTGCTGTATTGTGTCGGATGGCTCGATAAATGGAATGTAAACAAGTGGCTTCTGCAGCGAGTGTGTTGAATTCCCCAGAAAACAGGAGGGAAAATCTGTTGTGAAAGAACAGGAGCCCACAAAGATGCCCTTGAACAAGACTGTTGAGCTGGGCAGCTTCCAGTTAGTGATCTGACTGGATGTGAAGTCGATATGTTTTTGAAAGAAAGGCAGTTAAGTCTTGGCTCACTGCTTCATTGGTCATGTACAGTATCTAATCCGATGTTTACTGTTAACAACTGCTAAAGAAGAAATGTTTCCTTTATACATTCAGTGTAAAACCATAAGATTATATGTTAAAACAAACAGCACAAAATTGCCAACATATTTTTTCAAAACCCCCATTTCTGACCCAAACTTAGTTTAGGAACAAAATTATAGTCAACATCTAAACACATTTCATCAGGGTGAAGAAATGTAGTTTACCAGCAAAATCACTTGAAGTCTTTCAGTATTTTTGAATGAATAAAGAACTTAAGAGTCTGAAGGTGTGTTCTCGACAGAGATGGGCTAACAGTTTAGATTTCTGTCCAGTCTTTGTGCTAAGAAACAGGCCAAACACATCATGATCCTATCTCTTTAATGGACACAGACATTAATATTGATAATCTCAACTGATTGCCAGACAGAAAAGTGTTTTAAAAGTGTTGGATTATTACTTTTAACACCTGTGCTATAAAATCTGGTTGCATCATGGAAAAAACAACAAGTCAAAGCACACCAAAACCCAACAAAATGTCTAGAATATCACAAAGAGTCACATTTGAGCTTAACAGAGGATCCAGAAATTCCCTTAAAGGTCACATAGAGAGACAGACTGTAGTATTGTATGTCTTCTTTACTTTAAATTCTAGATATAGAGTTCCCCCTGTGGAAGAGGACAAGAACAATTGGCACAGTTCTTAACACTGCCACAGTTTGTTGAGCCGAAGACTAAGAGCTGCAGAGACTACTAATCACTTTTCTTTTACTGCCTCCTACTGGTAAAACCAGGCAACACCTGTGTGAAAATATCTCTCTATAAAGTCTGTGTAGCAGAAGCATGGGCCCTGTTTTGACCCTGATATTGTCCAGAGGCAATCAAATATGTGACACTTAAAGTAAACGACTGCCAATGATTCAATTAAGTAATTAATTAACCTGTGATTATTAATAACCTGAAGAGGTTTTGGTTGTTTCAAACGGGTTCACGTCATGGCTAGCCTATATTCAACTCATGTTGTAGTGCTACAGTGTTGACAGAAGCATAAACCTGCAAAATGCAATAAAGATGGAAAAGAGAATAAGACATTAAAGGTCACATGGAAATCCAGCTCAACATAAGTTGGAAGGGCCTATCTGATACGAAGTGCCATGAATTTAACTGCATTCAGTGGAGCGGTGTCTCCGGTTGGCAGGATGCTCCATCCTACCTTCAGTACTTAGGAAGATAGATGCTACAGTACAACACTCTTTTATAGGTTTTATATGAGCTGCTACATTTCAACTTTTTTTTAATGCAATAAATGGAAGAAGGAGAGAAAATTAGGTCTGATCATGCAAGACCTCTTAAAAGCTAAAAAGACCAAACGACCCTCAGAAGAATCCTATAAAATATACTCTTAGGAGTCTGTATATTATCCTTATTAAATGTATTAAAGCTTGAGACATTCAGTTGAGAGATAGATGGATGCCATCTTATCATCTTCTTTTTCAGGTTTTTCATTCTGCTCCATGCAACCATCTCTTTCACACACACACACACACACACACACACACACACACACACACACACACACACACACACAGACACAGACACAGACACACCATCATTATTTTCCATTCAATCACAATCAAGGCATGTTGTGTGAGTGTACCTGAGGCTCTCTGCAGGTGAACAGGGTCATATTTCAGTTTCAGCAGGAATATAATTTGAGTTTGTTTGAATCTTCCAGTTGAGTCGGTTCATTTATGGCTATCTTGTCACATAATTAAGTCTCAGCTCTCTGGTTTATTAATATGGGAGAAGAGACTCTGTGTCTTTTGACAAAAGAAGGCTTTGATATTGCAGAACACAACGTTCACTGTCAGACAGAAAATGTTGGTACCAGAAATGAGTCAGTATTTCCAAAAGCACAATTAATTTTCCCCTTTTGAAAAGATACAAACCTGTGTTTTTCAAGCATAAAATTCCCAACTTTAACAGTATGACTTTCATGCCAGCAACAGCAAGGTGTTTATTTTTGTTACAATGTTTTTAGCGCCCGGGCTCAAATTCTGGTTTAATTTATTAATTTTCTTTTGTTGTATTTGGTTTTTTTTCACCAGCGATTCACCATGAAACATTTTGCAAACCTGATCTGAAAACTTTTATATAGCCTGCACAACAGCTGTGCTTTTAATCATCATCGTCATCATATTCATCATCATCGCTAGTGTCATCGTCATCATCATCTTTAGATCAGAGCTCAGTAAAAAAGAAACCTCAGAAAATGATCAAGTTATAGTTTTTCTGACTCTAATTGTGCATAGTTTCATATTTAAGTAATGTAAATAAATGAACCACAGTTAAGCTCTGTCAGTCTGAGTTTAAGGAGCATTTAAGGGCATTACCCTGTAAAAAGTCCTATTGAAGAAAACTCAGGACAACAAACCATGAAACTCAAAGTCTGAAGGGAACACAGAGAATTTTACTGTTAAATATTCATGATTATGATAATACCAGAGACTTCAGAGACCTCCAGTTCTACTGTTGGTTAAAGGCTACATGGTCAGCAAACAAACCCATAATAACTGAGGGGCAGAGAAACTGAACGGCTCACCTTCAGCAGACAGAAGCCCATTATTCATTCAAGGCTCTGTGCTATCTCAGAGATAAGGACACCTGCACATCCCAAGCTGCAGCTCTGTGTTACTATGTTGCTCCAGAAGATCTGAAGGATTTCAAGGCTCATTCTGTTATAAAGAAACTCATTATACTGAAAGGCAAATTATGGTGAAAGCATTGCAGCCTTTGTGTTTACAAGTGACCCAACTGTGACTACCATTAAAATGTTAACACACACATATATATATATAGAGAGAGAATGACATGCAGCAAAGGGCCACAGGTCAGACTCATATATCATGGCTGCTGTAGCAAGGACTCAGCCTTAGTATGTGGGGCACCAGCTCTACCAGGGGGGCTATAGGACCCCCCAACTACCATTAAAATGCGAACAGATAAAAATCATATGGGATCCAATAGGCTTCTGGTCTGATTTGGGAAACATTCACATTTGAAAACCAGCAAACTTATTTTGCGTCACTGTGATTTTAAAGTCTTTTTTCTCCTCCGTGGCCTTATGTAACCCACCTATATGAACTTGAGGGAAAGTCGTCATTCTAACAATTATATGTTTCCATTATTTTTCCACGATCCTTGCTTTTAGTTTTTACAACGAGCCACCTGCCCAGAACAGAGAGAGGCACATTAAAAGGGGCCCTGGGGAGCCATGCAGCTTATAACCGGGGGTTACACAAATACACATTTTGTCCCCACAGCCGCTCAAACACATTCTTCTGCTGCCTCGCCTCGCATTAAACTAGGTAGAAGGAATGAATAGCTGCAGGGTGGATGGTGAATGAAGCGGGAAACACCCGCTGCAAGTCTCAACTGAGAGGAGTCCCATCAGCAGGTAAAGCTGGCCAGACACAGCTGTGCACAGACAGGAAGTGAGGCAATGTTCTCTTCAAATTAAAAGAGAAAACGACAGCTCAAACTTATATACTATATATTTAACCCATTTCTGCAGATTTTTTGTCATAAATAATATTTGATAATGTTTATATGATGGTTTATATTGAAGACAACTTGCAGGTTGTGCAACAGCTTGAATTGTTGAATTTAATAATCACCAATAAAATGAGTAGCCTACATACACATAAACTTGGTTGTCTTTGCCCTCTTCAGATGTTTCCTTATAAGAGTCAGTATTCTTGTGACAGTGGAGCCAGACCATCTGAGAAGGAAATGAAGTTTAAAATGCAGCTTTTCATAATACTTTATTAATATTTAGTAGAATTATTCCCATACATGAGTATGTTCAAAACTTTACTGACCCTTTCAGGCTCTTTGCTGTGTGTCAGTGAGGAAGGATCTGATTGGCTGAGTGACACCGCAGTGGGAGGAGCTACAGCAGTTAATTGAACCGTTGATAAATTGAATTTAAGCTGCAGTGGATGAGGCTTTAAAAAAAACGGCCAATTTACGGCAGTTAAAATGGGAATTTTGTTCACTAAACAAGCCAAGGATTTATTTTGTCATTCAACCTTGAAGACATTTATTATATTCGAAGGTCAGAAGGATTTTTACACATTTTAAATTTGCTAAATGGAAAGTAACATAACGCTAAAAGTTAGCCAGCTTATTTCAGATAGGAACAGGACATTAGCTCGCGAACCAAAACTTTCCCACGGCTAGAAAATATATTTTTTCTCAACAAGAAAACACGAAATGAGGTAGGTTTGTAGTTAACTTAATTTATATGTTATATTAGCTGTTAAATGTCTCCTTTGGGAAGTAACCCAGTGTTAAAAGTTGACTGCCATGAGGCATAGGCTAATGCTTTATTAATGGACTGACATTGGCTGTGCTGACTGTGCAGGTGAAATGTTAACCTGTAATCTTAGAAGATTTCTTGATATGGAAAGAGTTGGTAAAAGTTACATTTTAGGGTTTTAGTACACTTATATAATGATAAAAATAATATGTTCACACAGTAAGTAAAACACTTTTTGACTGGCAACTGGGTGGAAATAGCAGAAGAAATTATTGTTTTTATTAATTTTCCTTATTAACCATTATCAGCACTGAGTTGGTGTACCGTCGCCATATTTACTACAAGGTCTGTGCTTTTATTTTGAAACGTGTGGCCGGTAGTCTGGTGTATGCGGGTGAACTTGCCTCTCCTGGTCGACAGGGAGCGGAGAGTTGGCGAACAGAGTGGATCAGAGTCGCTGTTGGGGACTAGTGAGCTTCTCACACAGCTGTCCGGAGGAGAGCTGCGGAGGGAGTCTGGAAACATATGATCTGAGAAGGTATAACTGCTCCTCCATTCACACATCTGCACACATCTGCACACCCCAGCTTTTAGATCCGCGGAGCTTTTCTCTCCACCTCACCTCACCCGGGTAGTAGTGCCGCTGATGGCGCACCGTGCAGACCTCACCTGTGCTCGTTTCAGTTAAGGAAAACTTTCGCTCCTTTTATTTTTTGCCAACTTAAAGTGATTTTGGGAAAGATGCGATATGATATTATATGTTTGTTTCCCCTCAGAAACAGGTGGCTGTGTGTTCTTGGAGTGCGCAATCGATGCTTACTACTGTATTTACTGTACCTGGATAGTGAAAACCCATTGATCCGGTAGATGCAAAGATATAATCCTTAAAAGATCTTAAGTGATGCATGCTAGAAGTATAAACTATCCAAGCTGCTACTCAAGCTGGTATAAGTTTATTATAGGAGTTGGACATTAATAAATAGCCATGTGTTTTAATGTCGCCATAAACTCACTGTAGGTACCAGAGGGGATATTTCATGGTTATGGTAATTCTTCTCAAGGTACTCTGAGGCAGGGCTGCTCGAACCAGACCTATCATCCTAACTCAGTTTTTATCTGAGCACAGGCTGGCATGGCGAAAATGGCCAGTTGTGGTAGTCAGTCATATCAATAAATTATTGAAAATCTCCTGTGGCTGCAGCAGTAGTTGGAAACAAAGAGGGGTATATTTCTACTTCCTAGAGTTTCAGAGACACATTAGCTGCAGGTGTCGTAATGAGCATGAAATTAGCTCTAGTTACTCAAAAATATATTTTTAAATGTTTATCCGATGTCAGAAAACTCGGTGGACCTTCAGCCTTCTGCAGGGAGCACTGTGCTCTGAGTTGATATCATTATATAATATATCATTTCAAACTATAAAACAAGAGTTCAGGGGAGATTTGCAGGAGGCCGGGATGGTCTGGGATGTGATGTAAGGGACATTTGTAGCCCATACGCTACATCACCAAGGGGTGGCTTTCCTACTAGAGATGAATCATAGCTCCATTCACAGATTTATGCAATCACATGCTTTTTTTCAAATATAATAAATCTTTTTCTGCAACTGCATAAACATGAGCAGGATTTATTGTAGTTGACTCAAAGCTAAGTGCCTTAATATTGCAACTTAATAACATGCTTATAAAGTGTCAAATGGAGAATTTAAGTCTCTCTCAGACTGTTAAAATCCTGTCATTTCCCTCCTCCTCCTTTTCCTCCCTGTTCCTCTTTCTCTCACACTCCCTTTTCGTCTTGCTCTTGTTTCCCTCTGTCTCATTACTCCCCTTCCTATTCATCTATTCTGTCCTCCAGCCTCCCTCTCACACTCCCTTTTCTTCGGGTCCTCCTCATCTCCTTCATGTTTCCTCTGTCCTCCCTCCTCTTCCCTTCACTCTCTCACTTTCCTTGTCTCATGTTCCTGTCTTTTCTTCCTCTCTCTCCTACAGGTGTTTTGTGTCCTCTTGTCTGCTGCTACCAGGATGCAGTTCTCAGTCAGACTGAGCTTCTGCCTGCTGGGCTTCGTTCTCGTCTCTCTGTTCCCTCAGCCAGCGCAGGGCCAAGGTAAGTACCTCCACTGGGCTGCTTTCCACTCAAGGGCCAACGTGATCAACAAGGCCAATAGAGGGTTTACCACATAATTACATGAGGCCAAACATGGCCAAGCTGGGCTTTTTAGAAAGGGGCCAACAAAGCTAATCAAGGTGTTCCCTAATGGTACCCCACAGGGCAAGCCATAGATTTCAAACCTGGTGCTAAACTGTTAGGACTTTCCACAGTGGCACCATGTAGAGCTAGAAAGAATTCCCACAGGGCCGACAGTTTCCTCTTTGAAGCTCAGGTTTTAGCGGTTGTTTCCATGATGGCTGCTATCTTCAACACAGTTTTCTTTAAAAACAGCAACCGGGGCTGTCGACTTTGAGTCCAAACAGGGCGACCTAGGGCTTCCCATTATCGTGCATAGCAGGGCTTCCTAGGGCTTCTCTCATGGTGCTTAGCAGGGCTTCTTAGAGCTTTCCATTATAGTGCTTAGCAGGGTTTCTTGGGGCTTCCTGTATTGTTGTCAAACAGGGACAGTCAGCTTTCCACATCAGGACCAAAAAAAGGCTACGAACAGCCTAGTTTCCCCTTTACTTAAAAAATGAGTTGGTTGTTTCCACAATGGTACCAAACAAGGCTTGAAGTCTTTCACGACTTATCTGCTGTCAGCACTGTGATGAACATTGTAAGCTCACTGCTGCAAACTTCAGTGTGGTCCCTGTTGTGGAAATGCAGGTATCATCCTTTGCACTCACCGTTTTATACAGCTGGTTAAATAATGAATTTCACTACGTTGTAATTTGATGTGCAGTTTTGCTCCAAAGAAATGGACTTTTATTAACTATTCATTTTTAATACATTTTTCCTTTCAATGTGCATTCACCCCCACACGTCTGTCTCAAAGGGAAAAGCCTTGATGTCCACATCATATTGAGAAAACATGTTTAAACGTTTACTGTGGCACATTTTGTCACCTCTGTAATTAATCTGCACGTGTTAAAGATTGTTAATTTATTTATTCGGGGGAGTGTTTAAAGGACATTCTAATGTCTGATTTCTGTGTTACTTGGGTTTCAGATTTAAAATCTCCACCAGTCCCCAATCTTATTTTTTCAATTTCTCTTTTGCTCCTATACGTCTGTTAACTTCACAGAATTTGTGTGTTTTACCCATTGACAGTATATATATTGGACAGAGCCAACGCGGAAGTGTCTTACACCTGCGTTCTTTGTAATGGCGGGCAGGAGGAGCTCCATTGGCTACAATAAAAAAAACAACATCATGCACTCTAATGGAGAAATGACCCGACTTCTAACTTGATTTATTAGCTCAGTAAACAGTTTTTGGTCTCAATCAGTTGTCTTCTTCCATACATTATGTAAATTAATTTAGTAACTGATGATCCAATTTAGAGTAAAACAGACCATAAAGCAGGGTATGCTTTAGGGCGGGGCTACCTTGTGATTGACAGCTCATTCTCAGTGAGTCCATCCAGCTCAACCAAACTCAGATTAAACTGTGAAACTAGGCAGTGCTGATCAGATATGAATCAGATTCTCTTACCAGGCCTTTCTGTTTAGCTGTATTACGAGACTGTGTGTGACCAGGCGAGCCGCCATTGTTTCCTGCTACAAACAAGTTGAAATTGCGCAGCCAATGAGAGCAGCTCAACCCGGACTATGTCACCTTCGCATGCTCCGTCAAACCTTTATGGCGACGACCATAACGCCAAACTTGAGGCTTCATGACAGTACTCCACAGACCAACGGTTTACACTTGGTTGTACCATAGTGCCTCGCTGTCTGAGGAGCTCTTCATGTAATTGTGTTTTCTCTGACATCGTCTCTCACCCTGTTTAACTCATTTAACTTATTCAGCAATTAACACATAACCTCCGTCATTACCTCATTAACACCATTATCATCATTAAAAAGCTTATACGCTCCTTTTAAACAAGTAGCCCTTCTCTCTAGGAATACAAATTATTAATTGATATTCATGATGTGTTTTAAATTATCTGTGCTGACTGAGTTTTTGCCTTATTATAAAGAATACCTGACCATGGCTCTAAGATAAATGATATCTGGTATAAGAATATGAAACAGCTAACACACTGAACACACTAAAAGATTGATGTTTTGGTTTGACAGTTTGATAGTTAGGAACTTTTGCTGCACCCAAACACATTTAGCATCTGCCAACTATCTAAGGTTATTGGCAGTGTTGAACTTGAAGCAGGACTAAACCTGCTCAGTGCTGTGGTGGAGAACCAAAGCCTGCTGACACTGGGCCATAACCGTACAGTCAGTAGATGGGCTGATACTGTGCCATACCATAATAGCAGTTTATGGGGGTGGAAAGGTCAGGATACAAGCTAATTAGTGTCCCTGGACGAATACCATACATTGAGGATTTCTGCCCAGTGATATCGGTGCTGCTGCTACTGTATACTGGCAATGTGCAGACTCACTCTTTACCATACACAACACGGTACCTGCCACCTACCTCAATGGCACCACTTGCTGTCTGAAAGCATTTAGATAATGTTTTAGTGAGACATTCTGTGGTGCTTTTGCTCCAGCTACTGACTTGTAACTGAGCCAGTGAGTCAGCTAGGAGGCTTATGTCTCTCTGTGTGTTCTTCTACAGAGCATGTGCAGTGGAAAGCAAGGGGAGAGGGGCAGGTGGTATAGACCTCTTGCATGGATAAAAAAATACAAATCCCAAATAATAATATTCGGGACAGCTATAAAATTGTGTGAAAACGTCCTGAATTTCACAAAAAATGTTTATGCTCTCTTGAAGTTGCTTTTACTAACACACTTAATGGAAAGATCTTTTCTGAATAGATTCTGACGTAGTGAACATTTAACTGACATGACTGATCAGCTGTTTCCGCTCTGAGAGTAGAGCTGAGAAGTAGAAGTCTTGTCTCTAATCACTTGCCCAATTGAAGAAAAATCCTTGTGACATCGCTCCATCTATTGTTCTTCTTCTCTTTGAGGTTTATTAGCGCTTGGCAACAACTGGTTTTGTTTCTGGTTCGCGACCTCTACTTCTTCTACTGTGTTTATTACAGGCATGCCTGACCGCCAACTTCTGATGAAACTTAGTTTATTTGCTCAAAACCAGTTCACACAATTTTTCTTTTTTGCGTCATTTCAAAAGTTGTATTAAAATTTGCTTGACAACTAGATGAAAACACGGCTACTGTGGAAGATGACCAATAGTTCAACGAGGTGTCGGTAAATGGCTTGTCCTGTCCAACCAACACTCCAAACTTAGAGATTTTAGAGAGAGTTTATTATCACTTCACACAAAGAAAAGCTGCAAATACTTAAAAATATTTGGTATTTTTACTTAAAACTGACTGACTGATTGACTTAAGCAATTATTGATTATAAATATAATAGCTGCAATGTTTTTTCTGTAGATTGACTGAGTAGTTAATTGGCCGACGGTTTTGGTTCTCAAAGAGAATGTGTTTGCCTCCAAGAAATGTTTACCAATCAGTCTGCAACCATAAGTAAATAACCAGTAAAGGTACAGCCTGACACTGACAGAATAAGTCTGTCACAATAAGGACACTGGCTAGGTTTTGGCCAGAGTACGAGTAAACTGAAAGCAACCACAGCATTCCTCAGTGAAGAGGCCATAGTGTGCTAGCCTCGGCTACACCGGTGACCCAGGAAGAGCTGAGGATTTACGATCAGTTTGGAGAGCTTCCACTGAGAAACTCCTCAGCTCTGTGGCTCTCTGTTAGTTTCAGAGGAGTCAGATTAATAGATTCCATGCTGATCCATGAGCATATTTCTTTGCCAACAATCCAAAGATGTGAAACATATGCCATATAGAAAAGTGAGTAAGTAATTACTTTGTCATATCCTAAATTACTCTCTAACCCAACACCTGTCACAAAATCCCTGTTGAAAAGGATGATTTCAGTGGCTTAGCTCAGACTTTGTCGAGGCTTCTCAGGTTTTTCTTGCCTGCAGAAATAATGGAAGAAGTATTTGCCGGTTTCTGTACCTGGAGGGGAAACAGGAAGGGGGATGTGGTCAAATGTCAGGGTTGTTCAGTGGTACTTTTTCTAGGTGACATGCTCTAAGTTTCATTCAGAGAACTACTGACATGCCAGTAAACATTGTCAGAAGCTGTGAGGACAGAGCTGGACATTGTCAGCATATGAAAAAAAACTGGTTCTCCAAATTACGCAACATTTGACTTGAAGAGGATAAACAAGTTAAGTTTTTTTTCCCACTAGGGTTTGACTTCTTTTACCATCCTTCATCACCAGAAACTAAAATGTCCCTTCACCTGATATTGGCCGGTAGGGTTTTCTGCCTTTCCTGATAATTTAAAACACATCTAAAACTTTGTGCGTCTGACTAGCTGCACAACTCCTGGTGGGTGTGACGGACACCTCAGCAACCCTCAGCAGCAGTCGGCTCTGCTGTTTGCACAAGATTCTCCATGAAAAATAGATGAGAATTAAGTTCCCATATCTACAGGATAGGCCTTTTGTCTTCACCAGGCTGTTTGCTCAGCATCCAATACTTGTCTCTGTGTGAGAATACAATTTCACAGAGAAGATCCATGGCTTTCTGTGAGTGTGTGTGTATGTGTGTGTGTGTGTGTGTGTGTGTGTGTGTGGTACTGCAAAGGAACCGGCAGGTTTTCTTAAAAGGCATGAAAAAACTACAAACACTAAAGCTACAAGTAATAAGATTCTCTTCAATTTTTATGTGCATACACCAGAATACACTTGCCTCCAGTCCAGGACAAACATACATAATTCATGCGTACACATGCACGTGTGGATGCACTCACATGATACACACAGCACACCCAAACAAACAATCAACACATTTCAACTACACTACAAACAGAGAGGTGCGAAATCTGCTTCTCGAATCATTTGGGATTTGAGCAGCTCTCTCCAGACGAGAGAATGTCCTTTGTTTCCGAGACAGAGAGCTAAACCCTGAGCCGAAATCCCATGCAGCCCTCATTCTCATCCCCAGGTTGGTGAGATAATTGGTACAGTATTCCTTATATGTGTTTGTATATAAATATATTTGCCTGCTGTTGAATGCGCCGGCTTCACATTCCCTCCATTGAAATCAGGATTATCCTCCCTGTGCTGAACTCAAGTTTCTTTGCATACCTACATGAGTAGTCTTCTGCAGATAATGACTTGCATAAAGCGGCGGTTCACCCGAAATGCTGCAGAGGTGTTTGGTGATAGGTCTTATCAGCTTGACTAAATCCTGTATTGTGGAGAAAGCTGCAGGGACGTGGATAAATCTGTTTAGAAAAGCCAAATAAAACAGCCACTTTCTCTTCAAATTTGTGCTGTTTTCAACAAAGCTGTCTTTTTTTTTACCATGGACGGCATATTAGAGAAAACTAATCTCTTAATTTTGACATCCATACATATTGTTATTTCCATGTGTCATATGGAGAGACAACATATGCATTTTATCCCAAACAGACACGCAGCGATTAAAAATCCTTCTAAAAGTTGCATCCTCCAAAGTCAGTATGCTTTTAAGATTTTTTGTTTTGGGTGAACCATCCCTTTAAGCCTCTTGTTTATTGCACGCCAGAGCATCAGAGCTCTACCAGGCGTCAATCACAGTGTAGGTATTTAAAGAAGTCGTCAACAGCAGATGGCTCACCTCATAATGAAGACACAAACACATGAACGAGTTTGTGGATTTCATATTTTATTTTCCACCCCTTGGCTTTTCTTTTTTTGTTTTCATAGTTAACCAGATTAGACCGGGGAATGTGTTGCTTCTGGATACATATTTATTATCTGGGATTTGGCTCTGCCGGTGTGAAAATGATGGGGTGTTGTGGTTGTTGACCCTGGAAATGTGGTTTTGACATTGCAGTGCTTTACAATGGCCTTAATCCAGTGTTTTAACCTGTGTGAAAACACAATAACACTTTGTAAGAGCTAAGTGATATATGGCCATACACACTGACACAGTGTTGTTGACTTTACTGAGGGTTTATACACAGGTCAAGGCCATTGTAAAGTGTATTTGGATATTGTGCAGCTCAGTGGATCTAGTTACTCTGTGTTGTACATCTAAACACTCCTGCTTAGGACAGGAGAGGAATAGTAAACAGATGCTATTCCAGTGCCTTTCCCTTTGGTGCCCTTTGTTCTTTTTCTCCTTGCAGTTAAAAGGAAGTCACATTCACCTTTTTCTCATCCTCTTCTTACCCCTGACGACAGTTTCAAAGCCCAGAGAAGCAGAAAGAAAAGAAAGGAAAGAAAATGAGCTCAGTACTAGGAGGGATCAGATAGAAATGGAAAGACAGAGGGACAGATGAAGAGATGAAGATGGAGAGAGAGTGCAAGATTGAGAAAATTAATATAAAGAAAGGATACAGAGAGAAAAGTGGGGGGTAGGCCTCTAGGCGGCTGACAGGGCCAACAAGTAATCAGGATGAGAGGCAGGGGCGTCGCTTTGATGCTGACGGTAAGTGGAACATAGAAAAAGACCTGTCGTGTCCCCACAGAGAGGAACACAATGCGGGCCCGTCAATACATGAGGAAGATGAGGAGGAGGAGGAGGAGGAGAATGGGACTTTGCTTTTTAATGTGACATCTGTGCAAGCTAATCTCTCTGATGTGTATCCTCCCGCTTGGATGAGATACAATTTATCTATCTCTGCTTTTTTCCTTTCCTAACTGTTAAAAAACACAGATGGAGCGACTGCCTCTACGCCGCCATAACTCTGGAGGGAGTTCAATCTAACTTAACTCAGTCACAGTTGTCTTTTGTGCTTAGCGGATGAACGGCCGCGCAGAAGTAAAACAGAAGGAGAGCGGATTCTGTGAAACGTGCAAACATCCTTAGCAGTGCTGCTGTTTGTGACTAGTTAAGGATAATTAGACATTTTTGTTACTTCCTGCTAATAGCAGCAATTTGAACATGTGCAGTTGAAAAGCAGACACATATCTAGAAATTACACATCCTTAAATCAAAACTCTAAGCCTAATCAGTTTATTATCAACTATTGACTGAACAAAATTGAACTCCATCCCTTGCTATGGATGTAACCGACTAATACACACTGATGACAGCAGTTTTTCTAATATTGATAAAAAAAAATTAGGTATGGACGGTGCATGACAGGGATATTTTATTCATTCATTCATCATTCAAATATTTACAGCATGTTTCAAACTGACAGTTATTGTGTAAAGCTCTTTGTTTTGTTGTTTCTCTGTCCAGTTTCATCGCCACGGCGATTTCGTGCCAAAATCCTGAGCCCCACCAAGCTGCAGGTGTCGTGGAAAGAGCCGAAAGGAGAGTTTGAAAGCTACAAGGTCATTTACACCACACAGCCAGGTAAGCGCCAGCACTGACACTCCTAAGTGCTCTTAAAAACACTTTTCTGTACTGGAGCTTTTGTCTGTCTTTCCAATGATGACACCTTTACCTTTAAGATAGAGGGAGACATGTTTAGTGCTCGCTCCCAGCATGGAGGTCTAGATGTTGGATTTCAGTTTTTTAGCAGCGAGCATTCGGCAAAAGTATGTGATGGGACCTTACATCACATATTTACCAGGTGGTCCCAAAATAAAGGAGAAATAAATTCAACAGACTCCTCCAGTTTGGCAAGTGTGAAATGACATGTTTGTGTAGTGAGAGCTAACAGTGAATGTGAACATCATGTTTCACTTCCCGGCTTCATCAATCAATCATGTTTATTCAGCAAGCTGCAAAAGATCAGAAGACCTGAATATTCAACCCAAACAGCAAACTGTTTGGGTTGAGGTTTGCCAATTGGAGGTTTGTTCATAGCTGGTGGAACTTTGCTCTCTGCAGAAACCTTCTAGTTTAAACTTGATCTATCCAGGGAAATCTGACGAGGAATTCACACTCTTTTCCTGTACAGTCGTGTCCGGTGTTCACACAGTTATCCGCATTCACACCTGGAAGCTGAACAGCAGCTTCTGTGATGGATTGGTTGTCTTGTGCCTCGCTCAAGCGTTCCTCAGCAATAATTGCCACAGGATGATGCATCATTAAAGAAAAGCCTCCTTCAGTACTGTTGTGTTGATGTGGTACCCAGACAACACGAAGGGATTTCTTGTAAAATGACAAATTCAGGTTAATACAGTTTCTGTTCACAAATCATGTTAACTTAATGGTGTTTGTCTTTTGCTGGTGGCACAAGAATTCTAGTTATGTACAGAGGAGCACAGTAGTCGGACTTCTTGCCCCGAGGGAGAACAAATCAAACTTTTTATGTGGGTTTCACCTGCATGCTGGTACATAATTCACTTTTGAGAGAACGAGACACGTAACCACACACAGGAGCACAATGATACTGGGGTTGTTCAGGTGCCCACTCTGGAACTGGGTTGATTGCAGCACACACCTTTGGGTTTATTGATGAAAGCTTCAACAAGTTTGTTTTCCACAAGTTTGTGAAAATACTTAAGCCCTTTTAACGATGGTGAAGTTGGTGTGGAAGGCTCAGCTTGTCAGCATGGATCTTGATTGGATTCACTTCAGATGTTATTTCAAATGAGGTTGGAAGTAGAGGAGTGAGCAGTGTTTCCCTGAGACATCAACATCAACTCTTCTGATGCCTGATTGTAACCCATTTAAATCAATCAGGGCCTAACATTGGAACCATCAGTATTATCCAGTATAGTTCAATAGGACCACAAGGTACAACCTCTAAATATAAAAGGTTAAATCAACAGCTCTCTAAAGCAGTTTCAGCAAACATTGAACACTGGGATTTATTTAAAGGGTTAGTCTGCATGTGTTTTTGCCAGGCGAAGGTAACTGATTATAAACTAACACCACAACTCCTTGTAGGCTTGCGCCATCACGTCAGCCTCGACAACAGTACAGGAGGTTTAATGCAACACCTCACTGAGTTTTAATATGATTGGCTGCCTGTGTCTTCTGTTTGTCTGGATTCTTCACAACATTGACGTTATGGTCTTATTGCACTGAGAAATTAATTCTATTCATAGATTGACTGTAATTGTAGTGATAAAGTTGAGGTAAATACATGTACAGTTCATAAGCTGCTCTGTAATTATAATCACAAGGGGTATTATTCAGTTTGAAAACTGTGGCCAAGTTTTTTATTGCAGTTAGTGAAAACAGGTGCACTGCAGACATTTTTACTGTTTATTGATGTGATGCAATATATTTGATTCATTTGTAAATCAAACTATAACTTAATATAATATAATATATATATATATTTATCAGTAACCTGGTGGTATGTGACATCAGGAGAGCTGTGAGGTAAACATTGTAATTATATCTTTCCTTTATGACCTTTTCACTGCTGTTACAGTGTAATTAGAGTATTTAACTTTCACCCCTTCAAACAGTTGGTTTTTGATTTAAAGGAGGAGAGGGTAACTTTTACAGTCTTTTAGTCTTCCAACATGACGTCGTGGTCATTAACACAAATGGGTATGAATCTTTCAATATGTGATTGAATTACGCAGTAAAAACTCAGATGGAACCTGAAAAATGTCGGCCAACAGGTAGCTGAAGACAGCTGTGTGTGCTGTAAATACATTGTTCTTTCAACAACTGTGGAACATAAACTCCTCCGTGCAATCGGTTGTGACAGGCATTCGTTCAGACTTGTACCTAATGTTTTTTTGTTTTATTATTATTTCTATAAAATCTGTATGGTTTAATTTACTACTGCTGAGTTTCACTTCATTGTACTGACAGGTACATGGCAACACTTCCTCATGATTTAAGTTAATTTTATCTGTCCCTCATTTGCATATAAAGGATAAAAATAGATACAGAGAGACAAAGTAGGGAATATAAAGCACAGATGATACAGACTCTGTGGACACAGAGAGAGTGTTATTGTTGAAGTAGTTGTGGTAATTGTGGTATGCATAGGTGTTAATGGCAGAAATGCATGAATTGCTCTACAGACTAAAACAGTTTTTTGTGGGGTTCTTCACTATTTAATTTTTACTACATGTTTTTTATTTTCATTTATTTTGTTCCTTAAATTTATTCCTTTTTCTTGTGGTTATTGTTCCCGCTGAGGAACACATCAGAGTACAAAGAGACATTTTATTGCTGTGGGAAAAGGTGTACTGCCGTAAAAAGTGTCCTCTGCTTCTGTAGAGGACAGTTATGACGGAGAGCTTCAAGAATTCATTTTGTTAAGGACTTGTAATTATAGCACAGGTAACTGTTTCCAAGGTAAGTTGTGAGGCCCAGCAGGGGTCCCTCAGTGAGTTTGTGGAGATAAATTGACCTTTAATTTCACTCACTGGATACTAGGTACAATAAAGAAACATTATACTGTAGAAGAAAGATGGGTTATGACTGTTTTGATGAGTTAAGAAATTCTGAAAATTCATTCAGAAATTCCTCACTGAGACAGGAAGGAAGAAATGAGGGAATAATTTGTCCTCACGTCTGCAGTTGAGGTAGCTGTAACGATAAATTCCATTCTAAATCTTAACTAACTACTAATAATCTGTCGATATGCATTACAAAAACGCACCCCTGTGAATGAGCATGAGCATTCATACACATGTTGGCATATGGTTCTATCAGTATCACCATTGGTCAACTACAACTACACAGAGCACCATTTAATGTTTAATATATAAAGACATAGTTTAATGATGTTGGGAATTATTGTTGGATCATGGGAATTGGATGAACAAGTTTTATTTGTGTTTAGTCACTTTTGCTAACTTCATTTCGCTCTCTGACTCTTTGACTCTACAAATTACAGGTAACACCGTAAGTTGTAGCAAGTAAAGGCCAATAAAAAAATACCGTTACCTGAATAAAATTTCTAAAACATTTCTGATAAAGTAAGTACACAACTCAACAACATAACACAGGTACACAGGTTTTTAGATATTTTAATGTAGAGATGTTACATATTATAAGTTTGAGGACGTATTCAGGCTTTAAGAAAAGTGTTTTTGGGGTACATATCTTGAGTGACAGGTGTCTCAGCCTGGTGTTCTCATCACTATCACTGCCGAACCATAAGTCCGATATCACAGTGAAATATGGGGTTGAGTTAAACTTTCAAGTGATTTTTGCCGTCCCCGTTGTTTGTTCTTAGCTCTCGGCTGACTGCGTTACAAAACTACAGTTTCTAAACTTGTTCAGTTAGTAGAATTGAACATAGAATTTTAATTTCTGAGTTATTCTTCTCTGCGTGCTTGAAGGTTGTGTAAGTACAATGAATGAATCCCTAGTTGAGCTCATTAATACCGTCAATATGTACGCAACAAGTAATTTACAAGATTTACAAGATGAAAGAATCACTGGATTAAAATCAAATGCTGAACCCTGTGAAACAAAGGTCAAGTGATTGTAGGAATGTTGCTAGTAAATGAAACTGATATAATACACCTGTCTACACAAAGTGAAGACTGTTCCTGCCTCAGTATGTCACGTGTATATATTGACAACTTGATGGGATTGACCTGGGAGTCACACCTGACCTGAATCATGTGAAATATATGTTTAAACATTGTTAATGTAGGTAATAAATAATCTTTTTGGGAGCATCTGTTTAGTGCATTGGTGCCTTTTTCTCTTTAGACTGTTTCTCTTTAGTTTTACTCCTTATTTTGTATATATCTGTACACTGCTAGATGCACCAATCCATTGTGGCCTGAAATCTGAAGGTGAAGTCAACCTCTGCCACTAGTACTGCTCTCTGCCAGCGGCGGAGTAAACCTGTAGCTTTTGGTATGGCTTGGGTGTCTGTTTGATCACAGTAATGGAGAAAATGTCAGATAAGATGCAGTAAGCACAGGCAGCCATCCCCTGACACCGCGAGGGAGAGTGGAATGGATGGAGGGAATGACACAGGAATATAAAAAGAGAGAGATACTAGAGGGCAGGATGAAGGATAGAGCTGGAGAGGCATTGAGAGACTAAATGGATAGAGGGATGTTGGATATAGATAAATAAAAGGTAAAATGGGGATAGTGAGAGATCCAGACAAAATCTGCAGCTTCTGTCAGAGAACAAAAACATGTTGTTGTGGTTTCCTTTTCTGCTGGCTATGTTAAAGGGTTGCTTCAGTGTTAGGCATACATTCTGTTGCTGTATTATGGCACTACCACAGGGAGTTCTTTTTAACCACTCTTTTGTCACATAATGTAAATGCTTTTCGGTTTAACAGTTACAAGCAGTGTAGCTTCACTTGTGCTGGCAAACTTTACCGCCATTTTTATATTCTTTAACATATTTAAATTGGTTTGACATTTTCACCAAAGTGCGATGGCCTCATTTCTGAGACATGCCCACACAGCTCGCTTTGCAACATGTTGCCGTTGGGTAGTGCTTAGTTTTAAAGAAAAGGAGAGAAAAAAAATCAGATTTTAAAAGTAACTGGAAGTGCAGGGACGGCTGCGGGCCTTCTGGGCTGAGTGAGGGAGGTAAATGACGATGGCGATCATCCTCTTGCTGTAGGCTGTTGGTTACAGCATGAGTGTAATGAAGGAGGAAAAGCAGTGACGGAGCGATAGTTCATTTTCTTTAACAGTGGGGAGTTTTTGTAGAGCTGTGCCAGATGATTTCATTGAGCTTGTCTTTTTTTTCTGGTTGAAGTCAAGACATGACTCATGCTCTGTCATAGTTTGAAACAGATACAAACAGATGCAGCATTCAAGTTTTTACTTCCAGATTGCAAAGACAAACTGATAATTATTTAATTCACCTTCACTGTTTTAAACATTTTTTGAAAAAAATGTGTTAATTGTAGAAGATGCTCTGTTTGTCATTCAAGAGTTCAAGAGTTAAGACAGGAATCTCTATTTTAAAAAGAGTGATAGCATGTTGGTTTTTGTGCCGTCATTTTGCAGGAGCAGATGGTGGAAAGTAGATTTTTGAATCAATAATTTTTCCATAAAGTAATTGGCTTTGATAACTGACAATTTAAGATTTATTGGTCCCAACTGGAACATTTGTTCTGTAGCAGCAGAAAAACTAAAAGAACTGAGCAGGAGGCAAAATAACAAGTTCAATTTAATCACACAAAAAAATACAAAGAAGGAACAGTACTTTTATTTCATCAGAAACTCTTAAACTAATTTGCATCTTATGTTCTTGGACTTCTCAGTCAATATATGTTGACATGATAGACTCTGTCAAAGCCAGGAAACAGAAATCTACACTTCTCAGTCAATCTGTAAACCGCTGACTTCTGCCAAACCTTCTGCTGCTATGACAGCACAGCACATTTGGCAGGATTAAATGCTGAATACATATCTTTTATTTGGTTTATTAGATTTTTATTTAAACTCCTTATTATATTACATTCTTGGTTTGTAACTTTTACTGAGTGTTCTTATTTGTTTTCCCTCTGGTCTTTGCTGCTGTGATGAGCTGAACGCCACCTCAGGCATTTGTAAAGTTAATCTTTGCTCTCCTCGGTTTGTGATGCCAGAGGGCTTTTAAATGTTCATTTTCTTTTCTGTGCAGTTTAAGCGATCATGTAACTTTCAAATACAACTGAAGACATTTCCACATATTTGGAAATAGTTGGAGGCTTTTTGAGAATGCAGAGCAGTGTATAGTCTCTCGCTGTACTAAATTATTACTTTTTGTGCACTAACACTAAATAATAATTCCTAGTAAATATCAAGTAATTAATAGATTGTAAAATAAAGAGTTAAAGCCACTGCCTCACTGGCTAAAATAAGTCCTTTACAGACATGATCTGAGCATTTTATAAGTATTTGCAGAACCCTTTTAGTGGTTGGTTGCAGTTCAATTAGAGTACAGAAGGCGATGATTCATGCACCTGCAGATGTATGCATGCTCTCAGTGTGGGGGCAGAAGTCAAACTGTCTTTATGGCCAGAAAGAACACCAGTTCTTCAAGAAACAGAGTACTGTGGGTCGAACCTGCATGTTTCTCTATATGGAGAGACATTTTATTTGGCAGTGCTTTCCGGAGGCACTTATCTCAGTATACTGAGTGCTCTGTGGAACAAATGCATTACCAAGAAAATTATTTTCTGGTGAGAAAGTTGTAATCAGCTCTAGTCAGAAATAGTATTTTTGTTTGACTTTCAGAAGCGTAGCGATTAAGTTGTTTAATCTTTGCACAAAATACTGACCAACCCTTCTGACTGTCTGCCTTTCCTTCACTTCACTCTTCATTTTTCCCTTCTTCCTTTCTTTTTTGCCTTAACAGTTGTCCATCACCTTATATTCTGTCTATCTCTTTTTGTCTTTTCTTCCTATTGATCCTTGTGTTGTTGTTCCAGGCCAGCAGGGTTTAATTGCATGCCAGGTGTTAAAAAGACTTCTTCCCACTATTCACCGTGTGGGTGTCTCTCAGATTGATATTTCCGTGCAACCCAAGTCTGTAACATTTGACATGGAGTGGGCGAAGGCCGGCATCTCCTGTAGAAGGCCGAAAGGAGTTCAGTCCGCAGGTTTAATTGCTCCATCAGGATTAAAAAGTTTCGCTGTTTGAGTTTGAAGTTCTTTGCTGGCAGTATGTAGATCTGAATGCTGCTAAAACAGATGTTGTAAGTGCCTGTATTGAATTCATATAATAATAATTACACGGGTACTTCTGAACTTGTCACATTTAAAACAACGGAATAATTCAATTATCCTTACAGCTATTTTAATTGCAAGGAGAAAGGTTCAATGGCAGTAGAATAAAAGACAATTAAAAGTTTTGTGAATGCACAAGCTTTGCGTTCATGTTTCCAAACATATTTAAAGTAGAATGTTGGTGTTCATTTTATCTTTTTATTAAGAACAGCAGTTCTCTTGAAGATACTAAAAGCAATGGTGGGTTTATCCGTCTAACATCCTTCTGTCTTATTCTTCTGTGTCATACACCTCATTGTTGTCCAATAATATAATATTATCAGTTAGCAGGATGAAGTCAGTTTCTTTGTTGATACTAAAAGGGGTAAAATGCTGGACTGCATCTATAACCAGACCCAAAAGTGATGTAACTTTATCCTGGATATCACTGCAGCAGGGTGTCAAGTTAAACTGCTAGAAAAAGATTTTCAGGGCTTTTTAAGTTGGTCTTTAATATTAGCAAATATTTTGTCAGTCAGCAACCTGCACTTCTCCTCCACAATTTATGTGATGTTCTGTGTCATCGGGAATCCTTGTAATGCCTTGTAAAGCGATTTGCTCAAAAATAAATGGGGCGACTTTTGTGTCGTATCATGCCGTGCTTTCAGTAGGTCTTCAGCCTTAGAATTCAGGTGATACCTTATCTCAAAGGATCTTGACCCACCATGCTGGGTGTGAATGCAGCCTTAGACTGACAGCCATAAAGACATGGGTTTGTTTCATAGCCAAGTTCTCCCTATTTAATTAATAATTGAATTTATCTTTGATCTATCTTCTAAATGATTCCCTTGTAAGGTCAGGATTTAAACCAGCAACCATTTCTTCTCTCCAATCATCGGACTTCAGCTGCTGAGTGTTTGTTCTTCTCTTACCCTGGAACAGGTGGAGAACAGAAGGAGGTTCAGGTGTCTAAGAAGGGAGCAAAGCTGCTCATCGAGGACTTTGACCCCTCTAAAGAATACAACTTTAAGATAATTGCACTCAGTGGAAAACAGCAGAGCAAGCCACTTCAGGCTAAACATGAAGGTAAGGACTTTCACTGAGGCAAATCATCAACCCTCATTAATATGACTGCTGTGATAAGTGTTAGTAAAGGCTGATACAAGCAGAATTAGATTGATGCTACCAGTTGTTCCAGAAATGCTCAGGCAGTCTTCAGATTGAGGGTTTACAGAAGTTGCAACACATAATTAAAAATAACTGTAAATGTAAAATGAACTGAACTTGAGAAGTAAGTGCAACGACCTTCAGACATTCTGATGTAAAAGGTGGCAGCCACATTGAATCACACACCACAGAAAACTGCTGCTGACATCAAGCTGCACTGGTTGCAATCAGTGATGTCACAGCGGGTGTTTTTTATCAGCTATGATTGGCAGAATACCTGCTGTGACATCACTGATTGGGGTGTGACCATGAAAGCAATATGCTTTAAAGTTTAAATGTGTAGAGAGAAACAGCAGAACTATATGTGTGCTATGTAGTGTAACGCTGACCTCCATTGTTCAGTGACACCTCTGCTATTTATTCAGCTAATTTGGTTTAAGCTGTGTAGTTGGTGTATGATGGCGCATAAGACAAGTTGAGCGAAGCAACAAAACTAACAAAAACAACAGCATGCTTCAGCTTACCGCTGTGGTTAGGAAAGCAGAAATGTGCCAAGTGAGATGTTTACTTTGTTTCGGTCACTGACATTCGGCAACCTGCTGATATTTACTTGTCATACTGTGCTTCAGGAAGAAAGAAATACACATAGAGCTTTTAAACAGGAAACCTACTGGAGAAATCCACAGTGTTTCCTCCAGACATTTATTCATGCCAGGGTGGAAAAGCCCTTTGACTCAGCGATAATAATATCATGCTGCTCTTCAGAAATAAAAGATATTACTGTGTCCTCAATTGCGTGATCTCCTGTGCTGACAAATGTTTTGTTGGTGTTTCACCACTGGATGAAAAACACTGTAAAGCAGCACCTATGAAGTCTAAATGTAAATGTGGGTGACATTTAAACAACAATAATTGCTGCTGTTTACTTTTATAAGAACTCCCATCTGACAGTCAAACATCAAGCCAAGGCGGACCTGGTGTCAGTGTAATTTTTTAAATCATATTCTCACTTTTGTCACTTTTGGGGAAGGGGTCAGAAAATTAACTAGTTGATATTTCAGTTTTGACAAGTCTTCCAAAAAGGGTGCCAAAATAAAATAATGAGGAGCCAACTAGTATTAAAAGAGAAACCATCAGTGTTGATTCAGTGAGATCCTCAGGCTCACCAGGACCTAAACTTTAATCACACTGTGGCTAATTGATCACAGGAAGGAAGGTTTTGATGTTGTTTTTCAGTTGCTGCCACTTGGCTTGTGTCTTACATAAAAACCTAAATGTACTAATGTTTTCAATGATGTTATTATGATTAGTGGTATCTATTCTGGTCTATACTATTCTTGTGATTTTAACAATATTCAGTTTCAGTTTCAGTTTCCCTTTACATTTAATGTATTCCTTTTGTCTGTTGTGAAACTGATTGATATACATTGTGGTCAAGTTTCTGTGTTTCTCTTCTCCTCTCCATAGCTAATGTATATTCCTGCATTATGTGTTATTTCTACCAGCTCAGCGATCGGGCGTCGAGGTAGTTCAGTCCCAGAGGACACAAGACAGCCATGTCACTCAGGAGAACAACGAGATCTCAGAAGGTAAGATCCATGGTGGGGAAACAGGAGGCAAACCAGGTGAACAGAAACACTGAAACGGAAAAGATTGACGCATCCGTCTGTCGCAAGTCTCTGGTCGTCTGGATTCAAGACCCCTTCTGTGTAGCAAGAGCAGAGGAAGAATGGTTTGAATTGCCATGTCAGGATGACAACCTGTCATTCTTCAAGAACAACTCCGAAAGGGAAGTAAGAAATGTTTCCTGTAACCAAGAACAGCTTTTTTACAAATTGGAGAAGACAGCACTGCAGACAAGTCTGTTCTGAGTTCTCCAGAATTCAGACACCTTCTCTTTTTGTGAAGAAAGTTTTAAAAGATACATGAAGCATTTTAATACCATGACCTTTTTCAGACTGGGATTTTGAATGAGAAAAACAAGAGCAATGGCACAACAAAAACAGGTAAGTTGAAGCTGAAGAGTCCTTCGAGTTTTGTCACAAATGGCTGTATTCACTGCTTGATTCACCCTGTAAATCGAAGACAGTTTTCCCCTGTTCTGTCCATTTTGGAAACTCAGACATTTCATGATGTTCTACTATTACTTTCGCACATTTGAAGAAGGGAGAAGGCCAGTGAATGTAATATTCCTGCCCTAACACAGCAATTATCATTGAGCCTCGTTCTGGAGAAAATGGAGGGAAAGGAAATGAAATGGTACGAAAAAGGGAATTCAAGCGAGAGCCTGCAACAATCAGGAAGTGAGTCAAGAGACGAGTGTGGTAAACAAGGCTATTATAATTTTGAAAGCGATTGTAAGCATCCGTGCTGAGGTGGACACCACAAGGAAAAAACATGAAACAAGTAAACTACAAGGTAAGCCTAAATTTCTTAATTATTTCTTTCTCTTTCATGCAAATCATAGTAGCACTGTTGTAACCCTATGAATGTATATAGCGGATGATAAAATATTGGAAACACTTCAGAATAACAGCAGTGATCATGTCTGTCGTTTTTGTCTGCATCAAAAAAAAATCAATAAACATTTTGTGGAAATAAAATCCTGTAGCATAAACGCTGTATGTTTACCTCACAGTGGTTGGAGAGATTTTGTGCCGTGTTCCTTTGCAACTTTTGAAAATGTGATGTGTCCCTTTGTGTGAGTGGTGTTGTGTTTTGAAGCCTTGAAATGGAGGAATGGTGTTAATGATGGTGCAGATGGGACCTCTGGCAGACGGTTAGCCGCCATCTCAAACCCAAATTACAGCTTCTGCTCTGAAATCTTCACAATGGGAAAAATACTTAGCAGTTCAAATCTTTTTCTTTCTAAATCTACTCATTAGTGCATATCAATCAGCCTCAGCCCATTTATTTTGTCTTCACCTGTCTGTAGTCAAGTTTTGTTGCAGTGTGTCCTTGTACACTGAAGTTTGTATTTTTGTGTTCAGAACAAGGAAGACAGAAAGAAAATCAGCATTTGCAATAGAACGTGAGCTTTCTCCTCACTGCAGATCTCATTTCCCTTCATCACCTCAGCACTTTCCATGTAATTACAGCCTGAATCCTCTAAATGAGGATTTTATTCTTCTCTCAGTAGCACCAGACCTTGCCAGCAGAGGTTTGGTGATTGGTGATTTTCTCCCTCCAGATGGCAGAAACTTGACAATACTGTCAGGACTTCTCTCCCCTTCTACCTGACATTACTTAGCCTACAGTATGCTAAGTTAACTTCGATGTCCTGGGGTCATTTTAATCCTGTCTGAGGTTTCATGCAATTACCGATTTTTTCACGTGGGATCTGAGCCGTGTAACCAGTGTGGCAGCATCAGACTTGAGATTAGATGAAATTTTATTGGTCTCGTGGGGAAGTTGAGATGTGGCAACAGCCAACGTAAGAAGATTAAAAATGTGTTTTAGTTGTTAAAAGGTGCAAGGAGGACCCTAGAGAGCGTTAGAATCAAAATCTAAAAAGATTGATTGGGAGGAAATTTATTGCATGGAAATTTGAAAAAGAGTCAGACACGAGGAGATGCCACACAATTAAAGATCCTGTGGGGTTTTATGATTAGATTTCAGTCTTCTGGTTCAGAATCAGAATATTGTTCTTTAGGATGTTGATTAAAAGTTAACTTCATCATCATTCATCAATGTGAGAAGTAGGGGTGCTGAGGGGTCTACAGCACCTCCTAAAATAATAAGAGCCTGCTCTGCGGGTTGAATGTGCGTCAGTGGATCCACATATACGCTCGTCTCCTGTAGGCTATGAAATGGCTGAATCTTCACTTTCCTGCATTATTATAAACAATGATAACCTGGTGATCGCCCGCATCCATACACTGCCTCATTCCCTCTTCCTCTCCTAGCAGCTCGCATGCATTAGTGTTGTTGAGTGTGTAGTTGCTGTGGCTGCAGTATGTTGATGTTTATGTTTGCTGTCGGTTGTAGTTTAAAACTTTCTAAAATATTCAATTAAATGTTAATATAAAGGATCCCAGCCATTCAGATTAATGCAAAAACCACAAATGTTGTGCAGCCTGCCTGAATTTTTCTTAGCACCCCCAACTCTGACTGACTTCTTCGGATTAGTTAAACCTGTTGACTGGGTGCTATCCAGTTCACATTCTGCAACTCATGATTTGATTGTTTTTGGTGGTTCTTAACTAAAGATCAGGACCAGGTCTAGTGGTCAGGCATTTTTTAAAGCTTGTTTGCAGCGGCATTGGAAAAAAGCAATCTTTCAGATTCAAAAGCTTGGATTAAACCTGTGTGGCAATATTTAGCATGAATCCCAATTAAACATCCTTTCTTCATCCTTTTCATTATATGTACAGGATAGAGACAGCTTTTTCTCTACATCAACACTTTTCTGAAGATCAAGATGTTCGAGTGACGCTTCTGCAAATGTGACAGATCTGACGTCAGCCATTTCTCTGTGAGAACACTTACGGCTCGACAGATGTTTTAAAATGGGTGCTAGACTTCACCGGCTGTGTTTGCACTTGCTGCACAAGATGAGTCAAAGCAGAGAGAGCGATGGCAGACTGGAGGGAGGGAGGCAGGGAGGAGGCGAGCAACGAGTCCAAGAGGATTTGATCCAAAACCCTGAGATAATTACAGCTATGACTTCCCTAAAAATCCTTTTTTTGGCTCATTACTGCTGCTTGGGTGTACTCTGCATCAGTCTTCTTCTGTTCCTTCGTTCTACATCTGTCACTTCCTGTCAGTCCTACCAGTCTAATAACTACATTTTTACAAAGTTTATTACTACAAGCATGTACATTTTCTGCAGACGACACTCAACATTTGAAATAGACTATAACTAACATCCAAATCAATATGTTTTTATAGAAGTTACATTCATGACGATAATTAAAGGGTTCAACTTTACATGAAAACTGGCAATTCTTCCTTAATGCTAAAAATAAATACAGGCCGTAATTGCGTAGCTGTTGGCAAACAGTGATGTGAACACAAATCTCACACAGAAAATGGCAATACATTTTATTATTAGTTGTAAATTTTTGTAATGTTGTAAAAAAAGTTCCAAAATGTAGACCCAGTTCTGTAATTAAGTCAGAAGCTATTAAATTTGTGTGAAATGTACCTGCTTTGTGTGTGTGTGTGTGTGTGTGTGTGTGTGTGTGTGTTTCTTCATCTTTCTCTTGCCTTTCTGTTTGTCTTTCTCTTGCCTCCACTCACTCTCTCTAAGTCTAAGTCCAAGTTGTAACAGAGTTACATTTAAATGACGTCGAGCAGCAGAAGCTGTCACTGGAGGAGGCAGTTAGGCCATTAGTGGAAGAGAGCGTGGTCTGACTGCGACCAACATAGTAACAGTTGGTGATATTTGTCAAAGATCCTGTGGTGCGTCATGTCGTGTGGCCTCTGCTTCGGCTCTGGCAGTTAGAGTCACCATTTGGCCAAGTGTCAGAAAAATTTTCAAAATACTCAGGGGGAGTAAAGGAAGGAGAGAGAGAGAGAGAGAGGAAAACAGGGAGAACATTCAGTTTGAATTGAGTTTACTTTCTATATTTAAGGTTGGTGGAAGCCAAAATGATGTATGCAAACAACAGCCACTGGAGGCTGGCTCCAAAAGCTCTATAAGCCCCCCCATAAAATAGATCCTGATAGTGTCACCCAGACAACTGGTTTGCAGAGATAAATTTGATTATTACAGTTAGTTTGATGTAACTTATGAGCTGGAGGAATAATAATTAAAAACCTTGCTGGAAATGTGAGCAAATAATAAATAATTCTGCATTGAGTGAAAAGTATTTAGACACCAAATTCATCAGGTTTTAGTACAAATCCACTAAACCAACAGTCCTTGTCGCCTCATCTTTCCATCCATCATCACACACTTCCAGTCTTTGTCCTTTCAGTGCAAATAACAGCATAAATTAGTAAAGCAAGCAGATTTTTTCTAACCACTTCTGTTTTGGTCCAATCTCATTCATCGGTCAGTTTTATTGTGCAGTTTAGGGGTTGTTTAGTGATATGACTATTTAAACTGTAGTACAAAATGTTCTCCTTTCTGATCTTAAGACTAAAGTCTGCATCGGTGGAAGTGGGATTGTGTGTGTCTGAGGTTGTTTGATGAACTGATAAAGAGCACCCCTTCACCAGAGCACACACAAACAGCGTCTGCATATCACCTGCCTGTAAGTATGCAAGCAGCGCGACTACTGTCACAGATGATGTCGTCTGGATGCTAGAGGCAGCTGTCAGTTACGCAAGGCGCGTTTTGAGTGTGTGTATTCCTGTTAGCAGTAGCACTTCCTCCCAGTGCTGGTTAATAGTTATGGTGAATAATTGTCCGTGTCATAATGTAAGAAAGGTTTAACACACACAACACGCACACAATGAGTTACAGTATCCAGATCTATCTGCACTTACATCTTGCTGGCATATAGATTAATGTTGCTTGACTTTGAGTGTTTTCACATTCTCAGTCGCGTCCTGTTTATCTTCCACCACCCAGATTAAGCATGCATTGTTAGAAATAGTAGATTACATGTAAATAACACAACTGTGCCACATAAGTCCATTT